CCCCGAAACCCCCAGCTGAACCTGAACTGTGGAGAAGCTGCCCAGCGGGGCCCGAAGGGGGCCGGGAGGCGCGGCAGCGGGAGCCAGGCTGCTGCTTGGCGGACGGGGAGGGGCCCGGAGCCAGGACTGTGGCAGATTCTAGAAGCCCCAAAGGCCAGGACCTCTCATCCCCCCCTGACTCCCCTGCAAAGGAGCGCAGCCCGCTGACACGGGACCTTCCCCCCGTGAGAGGAGGAGCAGGAGGCCAGTCACAGCGGACACGGCCGAAGCCGAGGGAGGCTCTGTGCCCCCTGGGCACTTTTCCTGTGAATCCAAACGCCATTCTGAAATGAAAGCTGCTTTACAAAGACCGAGGCCAGGCCCCGCCCTGGAATGTCCGTCAGGACTCTGTCCCAGGGGTAGGCACAGGGGTTCGGGTCTCTCCGGTGCCCCCGCCCCACCCAGGGCCGGCCGCCCCCGGGACCCGGGACGCACAGAGCGCGATGGGGAGGCAGAGCTTCCCCATCGGGACACAGGGACCCACGGCCTCCGTGCGATTGGGCATCCGGAGGAACTGGAACAAAACCGCCGTCCGCCGTCCCAGGGAGAACGGCTGTTCTGGTGAGCGGCCTCTCAGTTCCCCCACGAGACACCTGCACTTACGAGCACTCGCCGTTACTGCTATAAACCCACACCGGCTCTGAGGGCAGCCTGGCCGGGCCTCTGCCTCCCCCCTCCGGCCCCTCCCTCTGCCGGGAGGACCGAGCCCCTCCCGGGAGCAGCCCGAGGCTGGTGTTGAAATGCTGGACCCGGCAGACAGGTGTGCCTGGGCGATCCACCTGCTGATTGGGGGCCCGAGGCCTCCAGGTCAGCTAACGAGGAGCCACCTGTGTCACCCCCACCCAGCCACCTGTCACCCCACCCGTTTTTCTCTCCCATGCCAGGACCCCAGACCCCAGACCCCCCTCACAGCTGGCCCCGGCGGTGTGTGCAGCGTCCACCTGGGTTCCCTCTCAGCCCCTGAGCCACAGTCCTCCCCTGTCACTGAACATGGACTGTCATGACCTCTCTGTGACCCCGTGGGTTCGCACCTGGCGGCCTCTTTTATTTATTTGTTTGTTTTTTTAAAATAAATTTTATTGATTTTTTTACAGAGAGGAAGCAGGAGAGTTAGAAACATTAACGAGAGAAAAACATCGACCAGCTGCCTCCTGCACACCCCCACCAGGGATATGCCCGCAACCAAGACACATGCCCTTGACCCGAATGGAACCTGGGACCTTTCAGTCCACAGACCGACGCTCTATCCACTGAGCCACACCGGTTTCGGCGTTGGCCTCTTTAAGAGCTGCACCTGCGGGCTGCGCCCTGGAGCAGCAGGAGGAGGAGATTCCCGGGTTCGCAGTTGGGGGTAGACCCTGCTCTCCTGGTCCTCAGTGTGACCTCAAGAGCACTGCCTGGCCGCTCACAATCTCCTTTGCAAAACGGAGGGCAGGCAACTCACCGTTTGGAAGAAGGTTTATTTATTTTTTAATTTATTTAACTTTATTTTTTTTTAATATATTTTATTGATTTTGTACAGAGAGGAAGGGAGAGAGATAGTTAGAAACATCGATGAGAGATAGTCATCGATCAGCTGTCTCTTGCACACCCCCTACTGGGGATATGCTCGCAACCAAGGTACATGCCCTTGACTGGAATCGAACCCAGGACCCTTCAGTCCCCAAGCTGACGCTCTATCCGTTGAGCCAAACCAGTCTCGGCTAATTTATTTAACTTTAGAGAGAGAGAAAGGGAGAAGCAAAGAAACATCGATTTGTTGTTCCTTTTATGGATGCATCTGTTGTTGATTCTTGTGTGTGCCCTGACTGGGGATCCGCCCTGCAACCTTCTAACCCAATGAGCTACCTGCCAGGAGACCACTATGCGTCCAGGAAAAGAGATACATTGGTAGGGGGATGGGGAAGTTAAAGGGGAGAAACAATGGAGAGAATGGGGAAATGAAAGAGAGCGAATTTGTGGATATTTTTCATTACCTTTTAAGTGGAATAAATAATATGTATACACATGTGAGTCATAAAAAATATTAGTAGAGTGAACCTACAACCCGTCTAAGACAGTAGAAAGTTACCGTAACAGAGACATATGTAAAAATAACTCAAAATCAAAGGCCAGTTAAAGAGCTTCACAAATAAAAAAAGCTAAAGGAGTTCATCACTGCCAAACCAGAATTATATGAATTGCTGAAGGGGGTTCTTTAGGAAGAGGAAGAAAATAAAGATAAAAATTATGAACAACAAATACGTAACTATCAACAAGTGAATCTGAAAACCAAGGGAATTAAAAAATCTCTTGAACAGCCGAAACCAGTTTGGCTCAGTGGATAGAGCGTCGGTGTGTGGACTGAAGGTTCCCGGGTTCGATTCTGGTCAGGGGCATGTACCTTGGTTGTGGGCACACCCCTGGTGGTGGGGTGTGCAGGAGGCAGTTGGGCAATGTTTCTCTCTCATCGATGTTTCTAACTCTCTATCCCTCTCATTTCCTCTCTGTAAAAAAGTCAATAAAATATATATTTTTTAAAATCTCATGAACAAGGAGAGAAGCCAAGATGGCGGTGTGGGTGGGCAGCTGGTCTGCTGCTCCCACAACAATTTGGGAATTGAAACTGATATGAAGGACATCTACTATCCAGAGCCGCGGGAAGGAGGTACTTGTTACGCCCAGACTTCGTGATCCCCAAGGACCACCAAGGAGCCGAGTCGGATGCAATAAACAAAAGAGCCTTCTCCATGCTAGCATGGGCTCCTCCCACTCACGCCGGCAGTGTGGCGGAAGAGAGAGCGAATTTCGCCCAGTCCAGGGGTTTTACTCTGGTCGGTGGTGATGTCACTGCCTCGGCTAACCCTGATTGGTTGGGTGAGGGCTAGGGATAACTCCGCCTTGTGGGGCAGAGTTGGGAGCTCATCCTCGCCCCGCCCTGCCCTTTCAGTACTGGGTAGTTAATAGTCAACAATTAGCATGATAATGGGAGCAATGAGGGACCCATGGGGCTCTTAAAATGTGACCAGCTGGAGAGATGGAAGAATAGCAGGCCCTGAGCAGCAGCATCCAGACCCAGAGCATCCAGGCCGGGAGCGTTGTGGGGTCAAACCCTAAGTTCAAAATGAAAGGAAAGAAGGAGCAATGCAGCCAATTTGGGTACCAGAGTGTTATGTCCATCATCACAATGGACTCAGAGACACTCCTGTGTCCCTTCACCCAAAAGGACTGAGAGTTGCCCAGACGACAGCAAAGTGGGAGAAGAAAACTGAAGGCTACGCAAGGGACTGAGGTGCCAGCATGGAGTCATCTGAAGAAATTAGAGATTGAAGTGGAAGCTACTTCTTTAATCATGTTCCTGCTCATGCTAGCATCTGTTAGCTTCCAGTCTTCTGCAAAGTCTTGTGCAGCAAGTCCAAGGACTCTGAGTAAATCTACACCAGCAACAAAAGAGACTCATTTAGTAACTAAAAATATTAATATGTCCATAGTTCTGATTTCTCATTTTGTTGTTTTGCATTGGCATTGTTGTTATTATTTAATAGCCAGAGTTTTGCTCTTGACATTCAAGTTTTGAAAATAATATGTATGTAATTTAGTTTTTGCATTGGCATTGTTTGCAATTGTTTTTAATTTTAGAGCCCTATTATTGATGTTTAAATTTTATTTTAATTAGTAAAAATGGGTGAGATGTAGAGAGCCGCCTGAGAAGGCACATGGACATTCTTTTAATTCTGATCAGCTGAGCCCCAGGGCACTGGCAGAATCCTCTTATCAGTGCTGATTTCTTAATCCACGTGCTTGGAATGAGGAACATATAGGACCTTGACTCACCCAGGTCTCGATATGCTAAATCTTGTACAAAAAAATAAGGAGCTTACCCAGATTTTGATGAATAGGATCTGGGCACACCCGAAACTCCTTTTGACCTTAAACTCCCCTTTGAAAGCCAATAAAAAATTAATTAATTAATTAAAAAAATAAAATAAAAACCAAAGGAGTTAAAAAACCTGATGAACAATATTAACTGTTGACTATAATAGAATCAGAGGTACAGAAGGGGAGTGGACTGATGATTCTCGGGGAAAAGAGGAGTGGGGGGTGCGGGAAGAGACTGAACATAAACTGTGCACTTATGGATGAGGACAATGGAGGGTGGGGAAAGGGCAGAAGGAGGGTTGGGAACCTGGTGGAGGGGAGCAATGGAGGGGGAAAAAATGAGGAACATTTGTAATAATATGAACAATAAAGATTTATTTAAAAAAAAAAAAAGTTACTGCCGGGCCGGTTTGGCTCAGTGGTGGAGCGTCGGTCTGCGGGCTGAAGGGTCCCAGGTTCGATTCCGGTCAAGGGCATGTGCATTGGTTGCGGGCACATCCCCGGTGTGGGGTGTGCAGGAGGCAGCTGGTTGATGTTTCTCTCTCATCGACGTTTCTGGCTCTTTATCTCTCGCCCTTCCTCTCTGTAAAAAATCAATAAAATATATTTAAAAAAAAGAAAAAGAAAAAGAGAGAGTGGAAGAGAGAGGGAGAGATAGAAACATCAATGTGAGAGAGACACATGGATTGGTTGCCACCTGCACATGCCCGGACCAGGGGAAGGATGGAACCTGCAGCTGAGGTACAGAATCCAACTCGGGACCCTTCAGTCCGTGGGCTGACGCTCTATCTCCTGAGCAAACCAGCCAGGGCTGGGGCATCTGCATTTTTAAAATCTCCCTGATCAGGGAGAACCACTGATCAGGGAGGTGCAATCAGGCCTGAGAAGCACTAACTTACCTTCTCTTCCCTCCTTTACCTCAGATGTCCCCACCCTCCCCTTCGTCTCCGGGTAACCACCATCCTCCCTTCTTCCTTCCTGGTTCCCAGGACCAGCGCCGTTTGCGATGAACCGCCCGCCCACCACCAGGCGGCGCCAGAGAAAACACGGCCCTGGCGGCCGGATCGCGCTGGAAGCTGCTTGGCCCTCGCGGGCCCCCGTCGCCGGCGCGTCGCCCGAGCAACAAGCGGGGAAACGGCCGGCGGGGAGGCGCGGCCGGGACGCTGGCAGCCAGTTAGTCGGGGCCTGCGGGAGCTCGGACCCGGGACCCTTGGGGAACTGCGGGCGCGGAGAAACGTAAGTCGGGGCGTGGGCTCGGCCGGGGGCGGCGTAGGGGCAGGACTGCCGGGGCCGAGCGCGCGGCCCCGCGCCGGCGGGAACCCCGCGGGCATCCGACCGCGAGCGCGGGGCGCCCGCACCCGGCCGCCCTGCTCCCGCGCCCGCACCCGGCACCCCCGCTCCCGCGCCCGCCGCGCCCTCACCCGGCACCCCCGCTCCCGCCGCACTCGCACCCGCACCTGGCCTCCCTGCTCCCGCGCCCGCACCCGACACCCTCGCTCCCGCTCCCGCCGCGCCCGCACCCGGCCTCCCTGCTCCCGCCCCCGCCGCGCCCGCACCTGGCACCCCAGGACGGAGGAAGCTGGGGCTGCTGGTCTCAGACCCACAGGATTTAGTCCTTCCATGTCCTCTCTTGCTTGGTGATCTCTCTGAACTTAAGGTTCCTCCCCTGCTACATGATGGGGGACAGTAATGAAAGAGGCTATGTACCCAGGGCTGGGCACGGAGGCTGTTCCGGAAGTTACAGCTCCTTTATGCAGAGTGCCGGTGTGCCTGGCCCGGCACTGCCAGGACTGGCGCCCTGTGCGCGGTGCCCGGGGATGTCTGCACCGCGCTGGGTCAGTGCAGCTTATTTAAACCACGAGGACAGATGGTTAACACTGCTGAGGCCGGGCCCACACGGAGACTTGGGTTTAATTGGTTTGGAGGGGGCCTGGGCTCCATCTCATGATTCCTGTGTGCAGCCAAAGGGTGAGGACCCCTCACTGAGGATGAGGCCAAGCTGAGAGGGCTCCTGGGCTGGCAGTAAGCTCACTCCGCTGCCCTGCTGTTCCCAGATGGCACTGCCCACGCTGCCCTCCTCCTGGTGCAGCTGGAGGTTCCTGGACCAGCAGGTAGCCCGGCAGCAGCACCGAGAGCAGGAGGCCCGGCTGCGGCAGCAGTGGGATGAGAACAGCCGCTACTTCAGGATCTCCTCCGTCTGCAGCGCCAAGCTGGCCGAGTGGAGCTCCCAGGCCTCCTACCAGCGGAGGTAACTGCGATGGGATCCGAGGGAGGCGGCCACTTGCCGGCCAGGGATGGCGCCTTAACCTGGGAGAATATGGCCGGGTCGCATGTTTTCTCCATGGAGCTGCTGGACAGCACAGATTGCCTGCCTGGCGATTTTTCCCAATTGGAAAAAAGATAATCAGTGAGGCAATATATCTGCACTGAAAATAAATGACAGGTGTATGTAGAGCCTGGCTGGTGTGGCTCAGTGGTTGAGCATCGACCTTTGAACCAGGAGGTCACAGGCTCGATGCCCAGGAGAGGGTGTGCAGGAGGCAGCTCATTGATGATTCTGTCTCATCATTGATGTTTTTCTTTCTCTCCCTCTCCCTTTCTGAAATCAATAAGAAATGTATACAAAAAATTTAAAAAGGGAAAGAAATCTATGTAGAATCTGGAAGTCTCCTTTAACCCCATGTCCCCAGCCTGATTACATATCCTCCCATACTTTTTCCCATTAGTGTTTGTGTATAAATATATGCACACATGCACCTATTTTTGTAAAATACTAGAGACCGGTGCACGGATTCATGCACTGGTGGGGTCCCTTGGGCTGGCCTCTGGGTCCGGTGCAGGTGGAGCAGGTCCAGCAGCAACCTAACCCATGGCTGATTCTGCGCAGAATCAGGCTCCCTCCTCCACTGCAGGGTCTGCCCCCTGGAGGTCATTGTGCATCATAGCTACCAGCCAAACGGTCAGACAGTTGCTTAGGCTTTTTTGTATGTATTAATAGATGTGTAAAAATATGGAAGTTAAAAGCAGAGGCTTCGGAGTCCGACAGACCTAGATAGAAATCCTGTGTCTTGCTGCTTGAGTGAACCTCAGTTTTCCCGTCAGTGAAGTGGGGCTGAAATGCTGTAGGACGTATGTGATGAACCACCATGGTTTATCTGGTACGTGGTAACTGCTCAAGTAATATTGGCCAGTACCGTTACCATGTGCACATGTGAGCGTATCACATTTCCTCATTGCAAGCACGGGTGCCGTTAGGCCTGGTATGCTGTGACCTCTGTCAACTGGCAGGAGGGCCCCTCCCATGCCCCCCTGTTAGCGCCTCCTCACCAGCAGCAGTGACAGCGGCTGCTTACGGCTCCTCCTCCCCCAGCATGCACGCCTACCAGCGCGAGAAGATGAAGGAGGAGCAGCAGAGGCAGCTGGTGGCCAGGCGGGAGAGACTCCAGCAGCTCCTGCTGGAGGAGCAGGACCTGCTGGCCAGGGAACTGGAGGAGCTGAGGCTGAGCATGACCCTGAGGGAGCAGAGAATTCGGGAGCAGCACAGGACTCTGAAGTCAGCCCGGGAAGAGCAGAGGAAGCTGGTGAGTTTTCGTTGCCTCGGCGAGTGCCTGCGGTCACCCTGGGCGCTCGGGACAGACGCGATGGCCGGGAAAGGGCTTACTCCGCGCTGCTTTCACTCGTGTGTTTTGCGTGAGTCATCTTTGTCCTCCTGGCCCTTTAAATCATCCCCTCTTAGTTTTTTGTCTTTATTCCAGTTCCGTGGCCACGAGGCCTGGGACTGTCTGTGTTCTCTCCCGGAGTAGCTGAGGGAGGGTGAGCCGGCTGGGGGGTAAGCTGTGTGTGCTGTGAAGCGGACCTGCAGCATCCAGGACCCTCCCGTAACGTCAGGTCTGACACCCCCATCAGTGCCCTACGGGTGCACTCGGTGTCCGGCTCCGGAGGCAGTCTGAGGCGGTGCGGTGACAGCGCCCTCCAGGGCGTGTTATCGGAAACGTGTGGTCTGAAAGCCACACCGGCTTCCCTCTGTGTTTCCCTGACAGATTGCGGAGCGGCTTTTGTATGAACACTGGAGGAAGAATGACCCCAAACTCCGAGAGGTGAGACCACGGGAGCCTAAGCAGCTGACCCGCGGGTCTGGCTTGTTCTAGATGCGTCTGTGTGGGGTTGAGGCAGGAGGGAGCACTCAGCCGGGAGGAGCCAGCAGATCTGGTTCAGTTGCTGGCTGAACCCGTTGTTGCCCACCTGTTGTGATGTCACCTGTGCAGGCGAGAGGTGGCCCCCGCTCCCCGGGGAGCCCTGGGCAGCCCGCTCCAGTGCAGGGAGTGGGAGCTGGCGTCGGCAGTGCCCGCTCGGGGGGTCAGGCGGGCGTCCCAGCGGAGCCGCTGGTGGAGGCGCTAGAAGGACACGGTGTTAACTTGCTGGTGCAGAGAGGAAGAGAGGGTTCTGGATTGAGGCCACTGTGTGAATGAGGCCTGAGTGCCGAGAGCAGGGCGAGGCCAGTGCTGGGCTGGGGCAGGCGCGGGGGAGCCCCAAGAGCTGAGGCTGGTGAGGCAGGTGGCCAGACCTGGGCAGCCTTGTGTGCTTCCCCTGGAAGCATGGGGAGCCCTGGGTGGTGGTAAGCGGGGTGCAGTGCGATCAGCTGCATTTGGGGAGCAGTAGCTCAGGCAGCAGTGTCTGGGGTGGGAGGAGGTGATGCAGTTGGGGCCTAGGTGAGTGCTGTGAAGGCCTAGACCAGGGGGACAGAGGACAGATCTGGGCTCTGGAGGCGGAGGGGGCAGCCGTCCAGCAGAGATGGCTTCCGCTCTCGCTGGCAGCTGTGCGTGTGGTGTCATGTCTGGTCACAGCACACGGGGAAGCTGCCAGTCACCGGAGGGGAGCCTCAGGCTTTGGAATGTGCTGTTAGCGCCCCAGGGGAGTCACTGCTCCGCCGCTGTCGCCTTCCTGGCCTGCCAAAGCCATTTGCTCAGAAAAGCTTATTCAGGACATTTAGGTGTAAATGTCCATATTTGTAAGCTGAGAAAGAACATTTAAATTTTTAAAAACAGTTTCCCAAATAACGCTTTTGGACAGAGGGCTGTAATTCATTTTCTGATCCAAACGACTCTGTAAACCGAATCTCTGCCTAACCACGCAGACAGTGCATGTGCCGCCTGCATCCACAGCGGCGGCTCTCAGAGGCCCTCACCTGCTCCCGCTGCCTGGTCTGGGGCTTCAGACCAAACAAGTGGCCTCGAGAGGGTGTTTCCATTCCAGCAGGTGCTGGCCTGGCCTGCTGGCTCCAGAGACCTGGGAGAGAAGTTCTGTTATTTTGTTCCAATCTTGAAATTAGTTCAGAACCCTGGCCCTTTGGTTTTCTTTCTTTCTCTTTTTTTCTTTATATATATTTTTTTATTGATTTCAGAGAGAAAGGGAGAGGGCGTATAGATAGAAACATCAATGATGAGAGAGAATCATTGGTCAGCTGCCTCCTGCATGCCCCCCTCGGGGGTCAAGCCTGCAACCTGGGCCTGTGCTCCATCGACACCGAGCCACACCCGGCGGGCTGGTCTCCAATTGGCTGCGTTGGGGGCGTCCTGTGCTCCCTCACCAGACCCCGGGGCCGCCCACGTCCCCACCAAAGGCAGGCACGGGCACGTTTCGGGCTGGCCCCGGCTCCGGGAACGTCTGCTGGTGACCCGAGAGGAAGCTGACCATCTGCTCTTCTCCTCAGGTCGAGTCGGACCTTCACAAGCAGCACGTGATCGCCTCCTGGGAGACACAGAAAGAAGAGAGAAAGCAGGTGGGGTCTGGACTCCGGAACGTCCCCCGGGCGACAGTGGAGACGGTCTCTGTGTCTTAGAGTGTTTTGTGGAGGCCTCACCACCCCCATCCCCGCTGCGGTGCCCAGCACTGCACCACATGCTTCCCCAGCCTCGCCCCTCGGAAACAGGAGTCGGTCCGCGGCCCGGGAGCACGCGCGCAGGGCCACTCAGCTGAGGGGCGCCTCTCCGGTGGGGGCGCGTGGGGAGGGGGACCCCGGCCCGCTGCCGGCTGCACGCTGCCGGGGACTGATCCCGATTCGTTTGGCCCCATGCAGCAAGAAGCCGTGGAGGAGGAAGAGAACAAGCGGTATGAGAATGAATATGAGACGGCCCGCAGGGAGGCCCTGGGACGGATGAAAGCAGAGGAGGAGCGGAGGCAGCTGGAGGACAAGCTGCAGGCGGAGGCGCTGCTGCAGCAGATGGAGGAGCTGAAGGTGCAGGAGCAGGAGGTGAGGGCACCCATGGCCGCCCTCGGCTGCTGGACAGAGGTCACCTGGGGGATTCTCAGACATGCAGAGTGTTTACAGCTATCTGCGTTCTCACTCCTACGTCGGATTGTGTGCGCATCCTCGAAGGTTCGCCGTGTGGCGATGGCTGTTCTCCGCTGTGCTTCGGCCCGCTGTCTGAGCCTTAGAGCTCGGCGCTCCCGGCACCCAGTGAGCCTGGCTCAGTGGGACGCCCTGGCCCACGCTCCCTGGCTGGCAGGCTTTGGCTCTCCAGGCACAAATTGAGGGTCTGTGGTCCGAGAGGCTGTTTGAGAAAGGTGTGCACTTCCCTGAGGGGGTGGGACCGTCTCACCAGAGGAGGGGAGACCCCTTCCCCAGGCCTGAAAGGGGGGAGAACCGGATCTTAGCGCCCACGAATCACTCTGGTGCCGAACACTGGGCTGGTGCTGGAGACACAGCTGTGAGCGGCCCCAGACCTGGGCTCCTGGCGGGTCCGGGGAGGTGGCAGGTGGTGAGCTGCCTGAGGCGTGGGCAGTAGAGGGAGAGGGTCCCGTGGAGCTCAGAGCAGGGGCTGCCAACGGCTCCCATAAGAGTGGCTGCTCTGAGGGGTGCTGAGTGAGCTGAGCTGCAGCAGGGCTCGGGTGGGAGGGCTAGATCGCCAGGCGGCCGGCCGGCCCTCAGTGCAGAGTCTGCTGGGGACGCAGAGGAGGAAGCTGCGTCCCCTGACCTTCCCGGAGTGCTGTCATGTGACCACAGGCCGCCAAACTGAAGACGGAGCGGGAGAACCTGCTGAGGCAGCGGTGGGAGCTGGAGCGGCTGGCGGAGGAGCGGGAGCGGACAGCGGCCCTGCGGCAGAAGGCGGAGCTGGGGTGCGTGGGGAGGGTGCGCCCGCCGCCTCCCTCCCTCCCTCTCTCTCTCTCTCTCTCTCTCTCTCTCTCTATATCTCTCTATCTCTATCTCTATCTCTATCTCTTTTTCTTTCTCGCTTGGAAACGGGAAGGATGCACCCTTTGGCTAGTACCTGTCTAACTTCGTTTAATTCTTGTTAAGACACTGAAGGCAACCTGTATTTTGTTCTCTTTTAGACGTTTTTTGAGACATCAATATAACGTGCAGCTCAACAGACGAGCACAGCAGATCCAAGAGGAACTGGTGAGTCTGGAGAGACAGCCGGCGTTTCTCTCGCCTCTGAGAGCCGTTTCCGTGACTCAGTAAGAAGTAAAGGTAGTGAGAGCCCGGCCTGCCCCACAGGGCGCTGCCTGGCGTGTGCCCTCGGAGCTGTATCTACACTCGGGCACACGGAGGCGGTGGGTTAAAAGCTGCGCTCCTCGCTGTTCACTGACCACCTGACGGCAGCGCTCCCGCTCTCTGATCAGTGTGCTTGGGCGGAGCGTGTTCTGTGTCCCTGTCGCCCGGGTCCCAGCCGCCCCGGGTCCCTGCCGCCCGGGTCCCAGCCGCCCGGGTCCCTGTCTCCCCGGGTCCCTGTCGCCCGGGTCCCTGTCTCCCCGGGTCCCTGTCGCCCGGGTCCCTGTCTCCCCGGGTCCCTGTCTCCCCGGTTCCCAGCCGCCCGGGTCCCTGTCGCCCGGGTCCCTGTCTCCCCGGGTCCCTGTCTCCCCGGGTCCCTGTCTCCCCGGGTCCCTGTCTCCCGGGTCCCTGTCGCCCGGTCCCTGTCTCCCGGGTCCCTGTCTCCCCGGGTCCCTGTCCCCCGGTCCCTGTCGCCCGGGTCCCTGTCTCCCCGGGTCCCTGTCGCCCGGGTCCCTGTTGCCCGGGTCCCTGTCGAGGATTCTGATGGGCCGCCTCCCTATGAGGGACGGGCGCTGGCTCCCACCCGCCTGCCGTGTCCCTGGCAGCACCCTCCGGCTTCCCGCTGAGGGCTTTCCCGTCTCCGGGCCTCCAGTCCTCCTCCTCCACACCCTTCCACGTGTGGGTGACATAACAGCTCCCTCCTCCGGGGGCCGGCGTTTCCGGTTTTCCCTCCTCGTGAGGCTGCGTGAGCCTCCGCACGGGTGCGTCTGTGGTCTGTTGTTAGGACCGGGACAGCTGCCAGTGTGTGTCCTCAGGCTGAGTGTGTGCCCGAAGGGGGGCCTGCCGGTGGTGGCAGAGGCTCTCCCTGGAGGCCGAGAACAGCTCCTGGGCCTCTGGCGTCGGCTTCAGCCCTCCCAGCCTCTCCCACCCGCTGTGGACAGTGTGGCAGCATCTGCTTCCAGTGCCGGGCCAGACAGGAGAGGGGCTCCACCCGCGCCCACAGGCCTCCTCCCTCCTCCCCTCCAGGAGGCGGACAAGCGCATCCTGCAGGCGCTCCTGGAGGAGGAGGAGGAGACCCAGCGGGAGCACTCGGCGCGGCGGGAGCAGGCCCTGGCGGACGCGGCGTGGATGCAGCGGGTCCTGGAGCAGCAGCTGCAGCGGGAGCGGGAGCAGGAGGCGGAGCTGCAGACGCTGCTGAGGTGAGGCGGCGGCTGGGGGCGGACCCGCTCGGCCTGGTCCACGGGGGTCTGTCCTGGGTAAGGCCCTCGCTTGTGAGGGTGTTTCCTTCAGGTCAGGACAGTGGTCAGCAAACCGAAGCTCAAGAGCCACATGCAGCTCTTTGGCCCCTTGAGTGTGGCTCTTCCACAAAACACCACGGCCTGGGCGAGTCGATTTTGAAGAAGTGGCGTTAGGAGAAGTTTTAAGTTTAAGAAATTTGGTTCTCCAAAGAAATTTCAATTGTTGTAGTGTTGATATTTGGCTCTGTTGACAAATGAGTTTGCTGACCACTGAGTTAGGAGGAAAATCATTAGCATTTAAAGTAAGGATCTGCTCATCTGAAACTCGCATTTGGAAGGAAATTGTTCTCCTGAGGAGATGTTGCACGCCAAAAACGAGCCTAGTGGATTGAAACGAACAACCGGCAGCAGCTCTTGAGCATGTGGGTGCCAGGCCCCCGCCCAGCGGCAGGTCCTCGAGGCCGGAGACTGGAGGAAGCCCCTCATTGGCACCAGGCCCCGGCCCAGCTCAGGCTCAGCAGTTCCATGGGCATCAGCGAGGACGTGGCCAGGAGCCTTTAGAACGAGATGGCGTATTGAGAAGGCTACTGCGAGGTCTTGCTGCAGGGACACTGCCTGTGCACGGCCCTTACTGTTAAACGTGTGTGAGGAGAGGCTGATTTGTGCTGCCCGAGGCTTCGGAGCCCTGTTTGTCCGTCCGTCCGTCCGCCCGTCCGTCCGCCGCCTCGGTGGGTAAGGAGCTGCTGCCATGTCTTGTGTTTCCCCAGGGAGGAAGCCAAGGAGATGTGGGAGAAGAGAGAGGCCCAGTGGGCCCGAGAGAGGAGCGCCCGGGACAGGCTGATGGCCGAGGTAATCCGCTGAGGGTGTGGCTGGCGGGGGATTAGGGGCCGAGCCTGCCAGATACTCCGGGACAGTCCTCTCTGGCCATTGAAGAAGGTAACACACGCTTGTTAGAAAAAACATCAGCACAGAAAAATGGTCACCAGACCTGCCATCTCCAGAGCCACTGCTCCTGCTCCTCCCACACGCACACGGCACGCTTCCCTGCAGCCTCTGCTCACGCTGTGCGACCTGGCTTCGCGCGTCCTTGCCTGCTGTTCATCTTTGTATATACAATTGTTTTAATGTGGGTTTAAAAATATATATTTTTATTGGTTTCAGAGAGGAAGTAAGAGGGAGGGAGAGAGAGAGAAACATTGATGAGAGAGAATCATTGATTGGCTGCCTTCTGCACACCCCCAATTGGGGATCAAGCCCACAACTCAGGCATGTGCTCTCAACCGGAATTGAACCCGGGCCCTTCGGCCTGCAGGCTGACGCTCTAGCCACTGAGCCAACCGGCTGGGGCTGTAAACATCATTTTGATGGCTGCGTAGTATATCCTCACATGGCTATACCACAGTTTGCCTTTCCATTCTCCGGTAGTGGGTTTCCATTCTTTTCCCAATTTTGAGCCACTGTAGGAAGCACAGCAGTGAACATCAGTCTGTGGAGCTTGTCCGTACCTAGCATTGTTTTTCTTGGGTGCGGAATCAGAAGTGGACTAAAGAAAGGGTTTCACTTGCCAGTATTTAAATACTGTGTCTTAGACACACACCAGCTAAAAGGAATCCTTTGGGGAAAGGCTTCATGTCCCTGTGTTGTTACTTTAAAGTGGAACCTGGACCGGCTCTCGTCTGGGCTTGCCTTTGGCGAGTCAGGCTCAGCTGGGTCTTGGCACGGGCACCAGCTGCCCACAGCCTGCAGAACAGGTGTCTGCTCAGAGGCTCCCCAACCTCCCTCCCTTCCCGCGGGCCAGGTCCTGGCAGGGAGACAGCAGCAGATACAGGAAAAGATTGAACAGAACCGACGGGCGCAGGAGGAATCCCTCAGACACAGGGAGCAGCTTATTCAGAACCTGGAGGAGGCCAGAGAGTCAGCTCGGCGAGAGAAAGAGGAGAGTGAAGAACTGAAATCGGCCAGGAAGCAGGAGCTGGAAGCCCAGGTGGGGCCCTCACGCAGGAGCCCCTCAGCGAGGGTGGGAGCTGCGGCCACAGGGCCTGCGTGGGCCACAGGACTGGGGGCCTTGGCTTGTTTCCCCGCCCGGCACCGCTCCCCTCAGAAGCCCTAGTCATCCATCTCCTGCTGGTGCAGGGCGCGCTCCGCTGCAGGCTCCTCCCTGTGGAGCAGACGGCCCACGTCTCACTCCTGTCTGCATCCGCAGACACTCGGCCCTGGGCCACAGCCCTCCGTTCACTCGGTGACTAGTGGGTAACAAAATCATGGCCCAGCGTGCCGCCCCAGAGCTGCTTACAGGGGACACACCACCACGCACGTGGCCTCTGCACGCCCTGCCCACGCTGGCACTTCCCGTCCCTTACTCTGCCCTGGCTCTCCCGGGGCTGGGCCCACAGCTTCCGTCTGACCGGGGCAGGGCTCTCCGGCGCCGGCCTCGGTGACTTACCTGTGTGTCCAGGTGGCGGAGCGCCAGCTGCAGGCCCAGGAGGCGGGCCAGCGGGAGGCAGAGGAAGAGGAGGCGGCGAGGCGGGCAGAGCAGCTCACCAGCGCCCGGCTGCAGCAGGAGGCGAGGACGATGGCCGAGCAGGGGTACCGGCCCAAGGTAGGAGCCGCAGGCGACGGCACCGCTGCCAGCCCCGCGGCCGGGCCTGCTCCCAGGCTGCGCGCAGGCTGTGCGGCTCTGCTCCGGCCGCAGGGCCTGCCCTCTCTCCTCTGCGCTTCTCCTTCCTCTGCAGTGGTCACTGACAGGCCTGTTTCGGTCTCTGGCGGGCCTCACACAGCCCTTGGGTGATTTTGCTTTGGCTCCTCTCGCTGCAGCCCAAGGAGGGAGGTCCTGATGCTAAGCTGTCCTGTGGACACTTAGCCATCTTAGTGCTGGCCACAGCTCGAGAGAGGAGAAGGCAGTGGTTTAGGCCCTCACCAAGCAGACATCAGAACCCGCCCGTCTTCCCTGCCACTGCAGGGCGCCAGTGACCTGCTCTGAGGGCCCTCGCTGAGCCCGGCAGGCTGGCCGCTGCCCTCCCCCTTCCTCTGGGCCCCAGGTGCTGAGCTCCTTGGTGCCAAACGCTGGGAAGCCGGTGAGACCTTCAGCAGGCACTGCCCCCACTGCCCCCCATTACTGTCCTCACAGGCTGGCTCTGGAGGTGCAGGGGCCGTGGTCAGTGAGTGCCTCGGTCAGGGTGCCCCAGCGCCCTGACATGTTACTTAGAGCCGGCACTTTAAAACACGCCATCAGGGCTGCCCTGCGGGGAGGGCCGTAGCTGCTTTGGCTGTGTGTCCTGTGCTTTCAGCTTTTACTGAACGTGGATCGTTCCCATTGCTTCAGAGAACGCCCCTCTGATCTGGGTTTCCTTCCTGTCTCCAGCCTTACGGACATCGCAGGATTGCTTGGAACTGACGCCCTGGGCTCGGGGAGCTGAGCTGAGGCGTGAGGCCGTGACGTGCTGCCAGCCGACGGCGTGACCGGCCTGGCTGGTGCTGGGCCGCTGGCGGAGCTCCGCGCGGTGCGGTCAGGTTAAGAGGACGGAGGGCTGGACAGACGGACGCCGGCGGAGGCCTCCCCTGCCTGTCCTGGGAGGAAAGGCCACGGCCACGGCCCGTCCGCTCCGAGTGACGTAGGCTCCGAGTCCACGAGGGGTTACGAGCTGTGTCCACAGCGGGACCCAGCGTCTCCTGCCGTCTCGCCCTCGTGGTCAGCTCCAGGGACGCCTCCAGCCAGAGAGAGGAGGGAAGGTGCCTAATTTTTTAAATTGCAATTTAAATGTATCCTATTGAAGACAAGCGTGTGGCCCCAGAAGGATCGCATCTTGTTTTCTGAGAACTGTGAACCCTGAGACGGTCTGACGTGGTCCAGGGGTGCTTTCTGGAACGGGGCAAGAAGTGCGTCTTTCGGGGGCATTTTGGTGGGATTTCCAATGACACTGTGTGGGGAGGGGTGGGATCAGTCACTGAGCCTCAAAGGGCGCGCGCGCGGATGGCTGAGCTCTTGAAATGACACTTTGGACCTTTAGTGCCGTAGGAAGGTCTCGGCTCCGCACAGTCTCCGGAGATTTAAGCGCCAGAGGAAGGAGGGGGCACTGACCTGAGGAAATGAGGTCAGACTCACCATAGACTCCTCTTCCCACGGTACCTCAGTGGGACAGTTCTAGACTAACCTGCACTTAGCTACAAGAAGTTCCTTGCAGCACGTTTTATGACTTGCATTTTTTGTATCCTTCTATCAAGTTTGTTTTCATTATATTGTGTTCAAGAATCCATGTCAGTAAATTATAGCTGATTACTGTTCCGCGTTGTTAAACCAGAGTTTATTTAAAACCCTGAGTCAGAGGGCTGCCTCACCTTTCACTGCCGTGGTGCTACAGAAACAGTGAAGCTGCTCAATCTGTCATTTTCTTGTCTTGGCTTTCTTTGGATCTGTCCGACCCCTTCCCTGTGTGCTCACGTTTACCCCGTCCAGACGGCCATTCCCTGGCTGCCAGGCTTCGGGATTCCTGTTGCCTTTTTTTTATTTTTTTATTTTTTTTTATTGCTTTTAGAGAGGAAGGGGGAGGGAGAGTGTTCCTGTTGCTTTCATTGGGTGCTGCACAGCAGTTGTGTAGGAGGAGAGGTTTTACTCACCTCCTCCAGCTCCGCAGGTTTGGGCATTCTCGGTGACGGTTCGCCTTTCTGGGTGATGTTCATTTTCCTGGTCCAGCGGCGTCGCCTCCCCTCCCATATCCACTGGAGCCTCTTCTCCACGGGAATCGGCAATACTGTCCGAGCCCCGTCCAGTATAGAACTGATGTGGGTAGAATGCCTGGAAAACCGGCCCTCAAAAATTTCCTAAAAAGTCAGTTTCTTCAAATTTCTTGTTTTTGAAGCCTACTGGTAAGCTCCCTATTAGCATTAGAAGCTGTCACACTGCCTCTACCTGATATATTTAAATGCCCTCCCTCTAAAACATGCCTCCAGTCCTGGCCCGCGGGAATTGGCCTGGGGACTAAAGGTTCTGGTTCAGTTCTGGTCAAGGGCACATGCCCGGGCTGTGAGCTCTGACCCAGTCTGGGGCGTGCAGGAGGCAGCCAATGGTCCTCTCTCATCATTGATGTTTCTATCTCTCCCTCTTCCTCTCTGAAACCAACACAAATATATATTAAAAATGTTTCCAGATTCAGAGCATCTACTGTCTTACGTTATTACTCTTATCCAACAGCTCTCCACCTTTCTAATGCCGCGACCCTTTAATGCAGCTCCTCATGTTGTGGTGACCCCCAACCATAAAAGTATTTTCGTTACTACTTCATAACTAATTTTGCTACTGTTATGAATTGTAATGTAAATATCTGTGTTTTCCGATGGTCTTAGGCTCTACAGCAGCGGTTCTCAACCTGTGGGTGGTGACCCACCGATTGAAAGCCGCTGGCAGGGCCTCCTGGGAAACGGAGGTCTGACTGTGACGCACAGTCCTTGCTCCCGCTGGGGTGACGATGCCAATGGTTTGGGCACTTTTGCAGTGACTTCAGCCTTTGCCAGGGTCTGACCTCATGGGGCCTGGCGTCTAGCTTGGTGTCTGGCTGGTCAAGATGGGGACCACACAGCCTTCCCAGCCTGGAGTCTGGGCCACAGGGACTTGCTCCTGGAGAGCCTTGCACACCAGCCTGCTGGGCAGCGGGTCACCCTTAGATGGCCACTGAACCGTCCCTGTGGTGAGGTCACCCCCGCGCAGCCCCATGGATGGGGAAGTGCTGCTCCAGGTGCTTGGGCACTAACGCTGTAGGGCTCCCAGCGCCTGGGCTGAAGGATGGCACCACCTCCACTCCAGGCCACAAGCAGACTGCCCGTCTATCCAGTGAAGCCCTGTGCTCGTCACCCACCGCCCCTTCTGCTCTAGAGACACCCCCCCCAAAGGGCCATGTTCTCTGAGCCGCCTCGTCACAGGCTCCAAGGGTGAAGCTCACGTGGCCAGTCAAGACCAACGACTAACAGCGACTCACATGCTCCCCTCTTCCCCACGAGGGACGTCACTGGACGTGAGTGCCCTCAGCTGCGCTCCTGCCCACGGGGTTGTGGTGAGGATTAAAGGAGCTGATCCTGTGGTCGGCAAACTGTGGCTCGCGAGCCACATGCGGCTCTTTGGCCTCTTGAGTGTGGCTCTTCCACAAAATACCACGGCCTGGGCGAGTCTATTTTGAAGAAGTGGTGTTAGAAAAAGTTTAAAAAATTTGGCTCTCAAAAGAAATTTCAGGGAGAGGATCCAAGATGGCTGCTCGGGTAGACATCTAACCGCAGCAGCACACAACAATTTCAATGGAATACAACTAAAATGTAGAGTGGACATTGCCCAGAGCTACAGGTAGTCGACTGACTGAAAATTCTACAATAGGAAGGAGGGAGAAAACCAGAAGGAAAATCAGAGGAGCTGAAAAAAAGCCTAAGGTATGGAGACATGCTGTGCGCCCGCACACGCGCGCGGAGAAGACGCAGCCGGAGAGGAGGAGAGGGCTGGGTGCTGCCTGGCGTTCCCTAGCAGGAAAAAAATAGAACCCCCAGCTTGGGCTGAACCCCCGAACTGGCAGCGCTGAGCCCCAGTTATGGGCCAGACCCTGGGGACCCAAGCTCAAGCAGAGGGAGACGGGGCTGTGAGGTGGAGTCCAGGGAGAGCAGCGAAAGGCAGAGCCCCCGGAGTCGCGCACACTGCACGCAGAGGACAGTCTGTTGCCTCTGATCCTGGACTCCCCTAGCGGGAGGGAGAAAGAAAGCTCCAGACTGGAGGAACGCGACGAGGAGCAGGAGCCCCTGCTGGACACCGGCCAGCCGGGCACCAGCAAGGAGCCAGGCGATGGGGCCCCCAGGGGGTGGGGTGCCCCTGAGCCTTCGACCGCTGAGCTCGGGCAACGGAGCCAAGGACGGGGGCTGCTTCCTGCGTGGCGTCGACCCCGGCAACAGGCTGAAGCAGCGCAGGAGCCCGCGGAGAACAAAGGGGTGCCACAGGCCAACCTGCTGAGCTCCCAGGACAAGGAGGAAGAAACCAAAGAAGTTCTCAATGTGAAGAAATCAAGTGAGAGCAAAAGATAGTAAAATTACTTAAGAAAGAATACAAAGAAGATCTTGAAAAATCAAAGATTAAGTCAGAACTCAACTCACCAGCCAACACTGCAACATAAATGCGTTTTTTTAAAAAAAAGAAAAAAAAGATAAAGGGATAGAATGTTGGAACAGCGGCGACCAGGCCTAGAGTGGCCAGGCACAAGGCAGTGGCAGCCGGGCCCAGAGCAGCAGCGGCCAGAACCAGAGCAGCAGCAGCCAGAACCAGAGCATCAACGGCCAGCACTGGAGCAGCCAGACCTGGGGCAGTGGCAGCCAAGCCCAGGGTGGCCAGTCCAGGAACACCCAGAACCAGAGTGGCCGGGCCCAGAGAAGCCAGGCCCAGAGCAGCCGGGTTGGGAGCAGCCAGGCCCAGGACAGCAGTAGCCAAGCCCAGAGCAGCCAGGCCGGGAGCGGCCAGGCTCGGAGCGGCCGGGCCCAGAGCAGCCGGGTCGGGTGCGGCCAGGTCCGGAGCAGCGGCTGCCAGGCTGGGAGTGGGCAGGCCCGGAGCAGCGGCTGCCAGGCTGGGAGCGGCTAGGCCCGGAGCAGCGGCTGCCAGGCTGGGAGCGGCCAGGCCCGGAGCGGCCGGGCCCGGAGCAACCGGGCCCAGAACAGCTGGGTGCGGCCAGGCCCAGAGCAGCAACAGCCAAGTCCAGAGCAACTATAATAGGTCGGGAGCGGCAGTGACCAGACCCGGAGCAGCTGGTGTGGAACGAACCAGAGCAACAGAGGCCAGGCCCGGAGCAGCCAGGCCCAGAACAGCTTGCTCCTCACCTGCCCTTGCCCCACGGCTGCCTCTCAGACATGGCTAGAAACTTTTTCGGGAACTTGAGGGTCTGCTGAATCAAGTGTTGATGGCTCAGATCTGGATGTGTTGAGTTAGTATAGTGCTGGGGTGTTGATCTGTGAGTGCCTTGGGTGGGGCCTGGATGAGGCTGGTTGACCTATTTGGAAATGTCTTTTGTGTGAAGTGTATCATTGGGCATGTGGAGGTATTATTGATATGAGAAAATGCTAAGTAACTGATTTACTATCTGAAAAGAGATTTACTATCGGGGAAAGGGAGGGAGGAAGAGACTGAACATAAACTGTGCACCTATGGATGAGGACAATGGGGGATGGGGAGGGGGCAGAGGGTGGGGTGGGAACCTGGTGGAGGGGGGAAGAAATGAGGAACTTTTGTAATAATATGAACAATAAAGACTGATTAAAAAAATAAAATAAATAAATTTCAGTAGTGTTGATATTTGGCTCTGTTGACTAATGAGTTTGCTGACCACTGCCTAATCCACCTCAAGAACCCGGCACTGTGTCTGGCGCAAAGTAGTTGATAAATGTAATTAGAATTATTACAAAAACGTATTGAAAAGTAGAAATGCAAGGAGCTGCTGGTGGGGGGGCAGCCCTGAAGCGGGTGGACAGCAGTGCTGAGAGCGGGCCCTCCCCACCGCTCTGGGCCTGATGCTGGAGGGTGTCAGCGAGCCCTCCCGGGGCAGGGGCCTGGCTCGTTCCAAAAGCCTGCCCTCCGAGGAGTTCTGGGTGGGCGCTGCCGGCCTGACCAGCTGGCTCTGGGGCCTCAGACAAGCGGATCCCTGAGGACTCCATCTTCCGTGCAAGGCTCGCCCAGAAAGGCGCCTGTGTGAGTCCTGCCCACCCCTTCCATGCCTTCCATGTGGGAGAGGAGCCGAGTCACCTCTCCAGAGGACGACTGTTGGGACAGGGTGAACCGGGTGTAAATCTGCTCGTCCCCCCGGTGAGCCCGCACGGGGGCCTTGCTCTGAAAGTTAAAGACCAAACAAGCCCACGACCAGCTGGCCTGGGAGGAGGGGGGGAGGGAGCCGTGCCTGGCCAGCCCTGCCTGGGTTTAACAAACAGCTCGTCCTGAGAAGACGCTGGGGCTGATACCCCAGGCGGGCTTCCCAGCCAAGCGAGCTGCTAGGACAGAGCAGGAGAAAGGGCAGCAGCCCGTACACCGCGCCGGGCGAAGCACCCTCTCTCAGTGCTGCCTCGGGACGGGGGGTGGGCTGAGGTGAGTATTTGATGGGAAACACAGGATTACCACAGAGACAGTTACAGAGCCTGTTTATTGCGTAACTAGCAGGCACAACTTCCAAAACAATTTTACAATGCTTACAGGGTTGTACAATAATTACGGGAATAGAACGTACAATAAAAACGAGAAGTGCGGAAGGAAGGGTGACATCGGTAACACGTTTCCATAAAAGGCATCTCAGTATTCCTATGCAGCATTTTCTTTTGTAAAAACAGGGTGACCTTCACCCGGGACAGAAGGAAGATGCTGTGTGGGGAGCTCGCAGCTGCTGTGGGACCACAGGCAGCCTCACCCGGCTCCCAGCCCAGAGGCCTGTGGGCCCGACTGCTCTTTGGCAAATCAGAACCATTTGCATTGAGGCAGGGTGCCTTCAGTTCCAGAGCGCCGGTGGAGCTGCCGCCCCAGCCAAGTGCCCGCTGTGTGAGGGCACCTGACCTACGGGCTCTGGGGGAGGGGGACTGACAACAGGGAGAACACGACATTAGGACAGACATTAGTGCAAGGCTGTGGGACCCATGTGCAAAAAGCGGTGAGCGTCGTGCAGACACGGTGCCGTCCGCCCAGGACAGCCTGCTGGGCCTCCTGAGGCTGAGGCTGAGGAACGGGGTGCAGAGGAGGAAGCTGGTGGCCTCCTAGCACCGTGCGTCTCGCCACCTGGAACTTCTTCCCGGATCCTGGCATCGCTGCCCACGGCGAACCCCGCGGTGTTCTTACAACCGCGCTCGGATCTGCGCGTGCCGGCCTTCCTCGGGCCGAGCAGCCCTTCACCGCAGGTCGTGTCTTCGCCCACCGCAGATGACGGTCGGAAACGGTCCTCCGGGCCCGGTCACCAGCTCCAGATCGCTGCCGGCCCTTCCTGAGGACCACGCACCCGTGGAGGCGGGCGTTGGCGAGAAGAGGCCAGCTCGGCCTGCAGCAGGCAGAGGCGGCTTTCCCGCGGGGCGGGGGCTGGTCAGGAGCACCCCTGGGCATCGGCGAGCTGGCACTTAGGGTGGCGATCAGCACGTGGACGAGTCTTCTGGAGAACGGACCCTTTCCCCAACGACGGTGACGTGAGCCCGGCAGGAGCGTCCACACAGTGACTCCGTCCAGCAAACACCCTCAAGGCGCTCCTTTCGTGACAGTTTACGGACAGGCTACAAAGCCGATTGTGAGTCCAACAGCTCTGACAGGGCAGGCTTGTTCAGCATGCACTGAGGCCACTGGATAGCTGTGACCTCCTCACGTGTGAGGGAGCACTACGGGGCTGAATATTTGGGCAAAGGGAGGAAGGGGTGGCCCAGCACGGGCATGGCTCAGAGGCTAACCCAGGTGGGACCAGGGAAGCCCGCCTCGCACCAGTTTGCCGCGTGAGGCCAGCACTCGCCCACACGTGCTGTGAAATGTCTGAGTCGTCACCAGCATTATAAACAGAGATGGCACAAAAACACCCAGACTCCTGGAGTCCTTTGAGAAATAAATGCTCTGGCAGCCCGGACCCACTTTACACCTGGCAGCCCGAGTGGAGCTGGGGGCTGCTGTGCCCGCCGTGGGTGTGCCCGGGCCCCCGCTGCCCGTGTCCACGGCGCACCCGCTCACCCCGCTCACCTCACTACGGCCCGGGCTCCGGGCCGGGTAGGAGCTGAGCCCACAGCGGCGGTCAGCGGGCACGGGATGTGCTCAGCACGCAGGTCAAGGGAGGTCTCTAGCTGCGGAGGAAACACCTGACCGTGCCCCAGAGCTGACACCTGTGCTTCCGTAGCTTTGGGGCAGCTGCTAGTCAGCAGAACACTCTCTAAGGAATTCTTGAAAGCTAAGGTCGAACTTTTAAAAACCAGCAATGTAGTGAAAAAGAAATAAAACCAGACGACTGTATAAGCTTACCTCACAAGAAGTCCTTAAAGGGGACGAGCTATGCGAAGCAGGTCTCGAGAAGGCTTTCCGTGGTCAGAGGAGTAACCGAGTTCTGGATGAGAGAGAGGTGCCTACAAGGCCGGGAGCAGAGGGTCTCTCTCCCAGGGCAGGGCCGGGCGGGAAGGGTGCGAAGGAGGAGCAATGGCCGGGGGCGCTGCTCCTGCCGCTGCCCTGGGAAGGAAAGTCTGGTTCCTGTGATAAGGCAGAGCAGGAGGCCACGTGTGATAACATGGCCATGCCCCTACTAGCATGTGGCCAAGTGACACATACGTGGAGGATGAGTGCTTATCTGATGCCACAGAGACTTCAGGATGATAGTAAAATAGAAGATCAAGATAGAAAAAGAACATCTCATGATAGAACAGTGAAAAGAAATGGAGCAATTCATTGTTTCCTTCCAAGAGAAATCGTTATACTATTTTTAGAAAGTGGCAAAGTCCTCTTCATACATGCTTGGAGATACTCCAAACTTAAGAGATTTTTGCAACAAGTTAGAAAATTCACTTATATTGCACAATGCTTGGTAGGGAACAGATAATGTTGATTTGTGTTTTTTTTTTTTACCCAACTCTCTCAAGAAAATGTTTTACTAAAAAATCTCATTTAGAGTTTTAACACAGGCGGGGGTTTAAGGGCTGGATAAATGCTAATGAACTTGCAACAACAAAGCTATGCTTTTGGATGTCCATGATCATGAACTCAACAGTCACTGACCGCACAACAGAGTATCAGAAAAACTGGCGAACAGTCACAAAATAAGGCAAGTGGGTTAAATTAATAATTGAAAATTTGTTAGAAAACATGCAAAAATAATACTGAGGTTTTTTTCCAAAAAAGTTTTAAGCTTTCATTAAATGTTTGTTTCTGATAAAAATTGCGAGTTCCACATCTAAATTTGTAACGGGACTTTGAAAAGCCCAGAAAATAACTCAGTTGTTGTTCTCTTTGGTGGTGATGGTGACCAGCTGTTTGGCGGCCTTGGCGATGTCGTAGGCACACTGGATGACCTGCTGCGTGACCAGCTGGATGTCCGAGGGCGGGCTGCAGTCCCCCGGAAGGGCCTTCTTGCATTCTAACTGCAGGCGGTAGGCACTGGATGTCAGCAAGTGGAGGGAAGTCTTCACAGTGTCAGACTTGGGTTTCTAAACAGAAAACACAGCCCGTTGGCCATGAGGTGCAGGTGGACATCCAAGAGTGGAACAAACATCTGAAAACGTCAGCTGCTCCCGGGGAGAGCAGTTTTTCATGCACCTTTCCTCGGGGTGCTCAGAGCACTGCACGCTTTGCAACCCCCGGTGGCTGTGAGATGCCAAAGTGCTCTCACTCAAAGGTCAAAGTGCATGCAATATCATTTTAGTAGGATGTGCTATCCTGAGGTAGCATCTGAAAAATATTCCACTTGGGTAAAATATTCCAGATTTGATTTTATTAATTTTGTTCTATTAATGCTTTGTTTTTATTCTATTAATGCATTGCTTTTCAGCACTGGGTTCAGACATTCTTGTCTTATTAAAACCAGTGTTCATGTAGAACAAAAATATTTCAATACTGTATCTGTTTACAGATGTGACTCTTTGTGACACAAAAAGAATAATGTATTATTATCAAGATAATGAAGAAATTTCTTGCAGTTTTTTAAAAGGATCTGAACCAAGTAAGTAGGAAGTGACTTACTTTGGGAAATAACGCTGCCATTTCTGTAACAGCCAGGTGTATCCTCTCTGAGCAGGGACTATAACTGTAAGAATATTGAAAAGGTTATTCGAAGACAGGAGAATAATTCAGAGACAGAAGCACTCTGGGGCCGGCACAGTTCCATGGATGTTCCCTAAAGAAGGGGCGGAGGCCGAGGCCAGCCGCTGTGGGGCCCACACAGCAGAAGGCACCTGGTTACAGACAGTCCCCTCTCCTTTCCTGAAAGTCCATCCCATCTGACAAGACAGTCTCCGGGTGTGAAGCACAGGCAACTTGCACCACTGGCCAGGGGAGGCCACAAACAGTCTGCACAGATATTCACACCCCGCAAGCTGGCCATTTACTTCTCATCTTCCCAATTTCTTGGAAACAAAATAAGGATTTCCATGCAAAAGGCCACAGAAGTTAAAAATAAAGTATTAAAAAAATACTTTAGAATTGGAGCCTGCACCTCAACACTTAAAAACTAACAGACAGCTCAGCTGACTTGGCTCAGTTGTTGAGCATCGACCTATGAACCAGGAGGTCATGGTTCAATTCTCAGTCAGGGCACATACCCAGCGGGAGGTAGCCGATCAATGACGATCTCTCATCACTGATATTTCTATCTCTCCCTCTCCCATCCTCTTTGAAATTAATATATATATATATTTTAAATATATATTTTATTGATTTTACACAGAGAGGAAGAGAGAGGGATAGAGAGTTATAAACGTCGATGAGAGAGAAACATCGACCAGCTGCCTCTTGCACCCCCCCCCACTGGGGATGTGCCCGCAACCAAGGTACGTGCTCTTGACCTGAATCGAACCCGGGACCTTTCAGTCCGCAGGCCGACGCTCTATCCACTGAGCCAAACTGGTTTCGGCTATAAATATATTTTTAAAAAGCAAAAACCTACAGATATTTCTAAATTCGTTTCATTCAATGCATCTGAACTGTTGGGACGTCTAAAGCTTTACTTTGGACAAAGAGGAGGCACTGAGATCAGCATCATCTACTTGCTCAATGACTTATTCACTTCATCATAACGCTACCAGGACTTAGTAATAAAATGCTACGGCCCTAGCCAGTTTGGCTCAGCAGACAGAGCATCAGCCTGTGGACCAAAAGGTCCTGGGTTCGATTCCGGTCAGGAGCACATAGCTTGGTTGCAGGCTCCTCCCAGCCCAGGCCTTGGTCAGAGAAACACAACGAATTGATGCGTTTCTCTCACATCGATGTTTCTCTGTCTCTCCCTCTCTCTTCCGCTCTCCCAAAAAACCAATGGGGAAATATCCTCAGATGAGGATTAACAACAACAACAAAAGCTATGAGCACAGCCAGCTCTTTGTTTGTGGACAAGCTCAAAGACAACGAAGTGCATTAAATCTGCCATCCCCCGCCGTTCGTTCAAGGCTCCGTTCTCAGGGCTTTGCAAAGACTCATGCCATCCCTCCAATAGCCCTACGAGGTGCTGCTACCACACCCGTTGTTTAAAGTAGGGCGCAGAGTCCTGGAGAGGAGGAGACCTTGTCCAAGGTCCTCAGCCCGGCCCCCCAGCCTCCACGCCCAGGCCTCTCCTGCACGAGGCAATGAATTCACACTTTTTTTTTTCTCTAAACAGCAAGCCCCTTTTCACTGATGACTGGTGATTCTGACTTCTTAGGTGATGAGAATTGGAATATCTGAGACTGGTTTCATTTATGGTTCTTACTATTGGCATTATGACAAGCAACATATGGGGTTAGTTTCCTGCACCTTAAAAATGTTCTATTTCTGCCGAAACCGGTTTGGCTCAGTGGTAGAGCATCGGTCTGCGGACTGAAAGGTCCCAGGTTCGATACCGGTCAAGGGCATGTACCTTGGTTGTGGGCACATCCCCGGTAGGGGGTGTGCAAGAGGCAGCTGGTCGATGTTTCTCTCTCTTGAAATGTGATGGTTTCATTAAAATGTAAGCTGTCTAGCTCTCTATCTCTCTCCTTTCCTCTCTGTAAAAAATCAATAAAAATATGTTTAAAAAAGAAAGAGAAAAGAAATGAGATTATTTAAAAGAAAAACAAAATGTTCTATTTCTGCCCTGAGTACATGTCAAAAGGTGCAGAGACAGCCAGGACCGGTTTGGCTCAGTGGATAGAGCGTCGGCCTGCGGACTGAAAGGTCCCAGGTTCGATTCCGGGCAAGGGCATGTACCTTGGTTGCAGGCACGTCCCCGGTGGAGGGTGTGCGGGAGGCAGCTGATCGATGATTCTCTCTCATTGATGTTTCTGGCTCTCTATATCTCTCTCTTCCTCTCTGTGAAAAATCAATAAAATATATTTATTAAAAAAAATTCTTTAAAAAAAAAGGTGCAGAGACAGAGACAAACAGAACATGGTGTTACGTGACAGCTCTTTGGTACCTCACTGCCCCCACGTCTAGAAATGACTGCAGGCCCAGGAGGGAGATGGACATGGGGAAAGCACTTTAGGAGCCGTTTCCGGCATGCTGGGAAATAGGGTGTGAATACAAAGGTTTGGCCTTACACAAGAACCCACATGGCTGTGTTTTAAAATTTCCCTCCTAAGACACAAAGCCAAATGTCTTCAACATCCATCCTAGCACTCAACACCTTCAAGAAACATTCTTTCCCCATTTTTTAACTCATGAAGTTGGCTTCTGCTTACAAATTGTAATCAGCAACCTCTGTACTTCATCTTTGTAAGAAATCTAGTATCAAAGCTATTTTAATAAAGAATCCCTACATTTAAAATGGTGCCAGGTGGGGGATTACTTTGTAAATTATATAAATGTCTAACCACTAAGCTATAAACAGAAAACTAATATAAAATATTACTGAAAGTCAACTGTAATTGGGAAAAAAAAACTTATTAAAAAAAAAAAGACTGCTTACATTTTAATGAAACCATCACATTTCAAGAAAATGGTTTGTATTATTTCATAATGCCTTCGAATGGGAAATCCTCACTTTTAACTTTGTGAGCAGTTAGCACCACACAACCATGTAATAGCAAAATGCCAGCGCATAAGAAGTTACTTAACTTGCCAATTTCAAGGGGCAACAATCCATCTGGTCACACAGACACTCAGAGGAAAAGGCAATGTCCCCAGCAACCCCTGTGTCAGACATAACGTTTCTTGCACTAGTGTGCCCACTAATATCACATTTACTGAGAACACATCTATTTTGAGTTGTATGTTATCCATATGCGTTTTACTGGTTAGGGTTTTCATGTTGATCCAAAAATATAATTCACCCTTTTCCCTTACTACACAAAGAAGATATTTTTTCTAAGGTCATCTCTCAAAAATTCATTCATTATAAGACATTTGAGAAAAGTCCTGAATAAGCGGCAAAAGAAAGCACACACAGATCAATGAAGTCCTCCTCCATTATCAGAGGGTGTTCTTCAAATTATCTTTTCCCAAAAAGGCTTTTGTGCATAATATGTAGTAATCCTGAATTGTGTAATTTCCTGTGCATGTGAGTGCGGGAGAGAGATGCAGGCAGGGGATAGAACCAGGCTGAGGGACGGTCAGGGGCTTAGACCAGGGGACCAGGACCAAGCCTGAATGTGCCCACATAGGCTATTGGTCTACTTAAGATAACACAAGCAATGGGTCAACAGGAGGAAAAGGCGTGGGTTTAATGTGTACAATACAAAGTTGTGAATAAAAGCGTCTTGAATATGTAAGTAACCAGAAATTTTAATAGAACATCAAACAAGATGTACAATAAAATATAAATTCTCTATACCAGTTCTGGTTTAAAGCAAAAGAATGAGCTAATGATTAAAATCTTTCCATCATTCTCTCGTGGTTTTTTTTTTTTTTAAACCTCACCAGAGGATATTTTTTCCATTGATTTTTAGAGAGAGTGGAAGGGAGGGAGGATGGGGAGAGCGAGAGAAACACTGATGTGAGGAAGACACAGCAATTGGCTGCCTTTTCTACACACGGTTGAAGCAGGGGATCAAACCTGCAACCGAAAAAAAGAAAACACAAATAAGATGAAAAACAAACAAAAAAGAACCTGCAACAGAGGCAGGTGCCCTTAGCTGGGAATCAAACCCGAGACCCTTCATTCCACACCAGCCAGGGCTCTCATGGTCTTAAAAAAGAAATCAGATCATGACATTTATTGAATAAATCTGTACATTAAAAAGTAAAAAATTTCCAAATTGTACCAAGCACCATACTGCGATCTTTAAAGCAGAAATGGCCGTAGGGCAGGTAATTGTATTTTTTACAATTACCGAAGAGAACGATGCAATGTAAGCAACATGAAACTAGGATGCCACCCAGACAGTTAGCTGAAAGGAAGTTCTCAGAGAAAAGAATGCATCAGAACAAGAGCCAGTCCCTTCCTATGCTAAGAACTGGCTCTGCTCAATATGGTTCTGCTCAGAGCGAGAACAGTTATGTGAATGGTGATTCGAGCAATTTTATTGGTAAACCACGTGTCTTAGACGTTTCATACACACATAAGCACAGGCACATGCGGGAGACATGAGAAGTCAGGGTCATGGCAGGATATCTTTACGTCACAAACTGGCTAGCGAAGGCAATCCCAGGGAGCAGTGGTGCCGGGAAGAATCAAGGGCAAGTTCTCAGGAGCTTCCCTCCCTTCTCTTCCTAGAACAGATATCACTGTCCCAACTTCACCGCGATTCTATTCCTAGAGACATTTATATTCATACTTCCTAAGAAGAATGAAAAACTGAAAACATGTAAAAAAACAAACCTAAATTTACAAATTTGTTCTTAAACCTGTTATGTGAACCTGAAATTTTAAAAACCCTTTGATATTAGGACATTGACGAAACCCCATTCCTGACTTGAGTGCACCTGAGCATGGGCAGCCCTCCCAGGAGGGAAGCCCTACCTGTCATGTTTGTTTTCCTGGGCTGCTCGCAGGAGTTCCTGGATGTTTTTGGTGATCTGCTCAGTTTTCCGGATGACGTCTTCGGTGCTGGGGAGGCTGGGGCTTGGGGCCATGGAGGGCTCTGCCATGTCCGGTATTGAGCCATCGCCTTGCCACACCATACTCCTCTGCCTCCCCTTCCTGCTTGACCTGGGACATCACAGAAGAGGCTAAATGCAGCAGGTGCTTATCTGTGTCTGCACTAGGAGCCCCGTGTGCATTTGCTGGACACAGAGTAGGCTGCTTTTGCGGTTTCCTCTATCCTGTCTGGCAGGAGACTCATGGTAAGGCTGTTCACCCACAGGCACATGGAGGCTCTTCCATTCACTAGGGGACTGGGAATGATGACTCTTGCAGAAAGGGGGAAGATGAGGAAAGGCAGGAATAACGAACAGGGAGGGAGTGTGATTAGAAAGCCATCCCTAACTGAGCCAGTCCCATGGGGTAAAAATGCAGAATATAACCTAACAGTGACTTAAAGGGAAGGACTGATTTGAAGCACATTTCAGAGACATGGAGACATAAAATGTGCTGGTAAAGGAAAATAAGACCTTGTGGCAATGATGTGTGATGAAAAGAGGTGTTGACCTATGAACTATTGCCTCAATATTTGAAGACTTTTGGGAACAGAGAAAAGGGGTGCAGGTGATGAACTACGGCTCCTGGCACGGCTGGCTAGTGTATCTGGTTTCTGAGCCCAAGCCCGGCACGCCCCCTGCAGTGTACCCCATGTCATCTGCATCCGTGTCGTTGGGAGTGTTGTCATAGTCACTTTCAGGTGTGCTGTTCTGCTTCTCCAGCCTGGACGCCTGCAAGAGAGAAAAGGGGCCCATTAGTTCCGAGCATCAGACACCACTGAGGAGCCCCTTCTCCAGGAATCACCACTGCATGGCCCGCCCCTCACCTGGGACGGAGCCAACCCTCTACTGAAAACCTAGTGAAAGAGGAGCAGTGGGTACAGAAATACTCTTTTCTCTGTGCGCCATTCTCAGCTCAGTGGCTACTCCATAAGCAGATCCTTGGTACAAACTAATGCACATACACAAGGCAACACACCCACGTCTCATTCTCTAAGGGGCATGAGTTTAACTACGATACAGTGAGTCCCACTGAACAGCAAAACGCCTGCACTCAGACACCACTGACCTTCAGCACTGGAAGCTGCCTGCACATTATCTATCTAACACCAGGTGAGAAGTGACACACCCAAGGCCGCAGACTCGGCAGAAAACAGGACCTAGAGCCCGGGCCCCTGCCACCTCCAGCATCCCAGGCCTGGGCGCTGAGGCTCTCGGATCTCCTCCGAGGGGGTTATCGGAGCAGAAAACTAGTACTGATTGATTGCCACATGTTGTTTGTGAATCAAAATAGATTAAACTGGTGTATACTTGATTTCCAACCATTTTTATCTGTTTCCCAAAGCACCTAACCCTCAAAATATAAAGATTTGATGCAACTGTGGAAATTAAAAAACAGGAGGCAGATTTAAAAGAGGAATATAAAAACGTGTTGAGCAAATGGCAGCACTGCTAAGTACAGGGCCTTTCAAGGTGACAAACTTGAAGGAGACCACATCCCTTGAATCATTTAGTCAACATGGGTTTCCCTCAGTATGTATTTCATCCATAATGCTTTAGAACGTCTTCATCTAGAATAGAAATCAGTGGAAACTGATTTAAAACCTAAACTGATTACTTAGCAAAATACAAATCTAAGCTATTTCCAGCTCTCACCTTGAATTTAATCCAAGTTAATAAAAACATGTGACTTAAGGAATGATACTAATGCTGCAATAAAATGTGGCTAAAAATAGTTATACAGGTGTTCCTTAAAGAATACAGGAATGGCCCGGCAGGAGTGGCTCAGTGGTTGAGCACTGACTCATGCACCAAGAAGTCAGTGTGGTGGATTCCTGGTTAGGCACACACCTGGACTGCTGGCTTGATCCCCAGTAGAGGGTATGCAGGAGGCAGCAGATCGATGTTTCTATTTAACTCTGTCCCTTCCTCTTTCTCTAAAACCAATTTAAAAATACATATTTTAAAAAAAAATACAGGATTGATTTTTCTGAGAAATAGAAACACTGATTAGTTGTTCCATTTACTATGCGTTCATTGGTTGATTCTTGCATGTGCCCTGACCGGGGATCAAACTCGCAATCTTGGCCTATCAGAAGGATGTAACTGAGCTACTTGGCCAAGGCTAAAACATTTTTTCAATTGACCTGCACAGTTCAATTGACACACGCAGTTCAAACCCACATTGTTCAAGGTTCAACTGGTGGCTGGACATCTGCATGTACAAAGGACCAACTTAAGTTATAATCAGATTTTTGACTGCAGGGGCTGTTGGTGTCCCCAACCCCCATGTTGTTTGAGGGTCAACTGTAAATTAAGAGCCTTATTTAAACATCTGGAGACCCAACAGTGTCATCCAAAAGAGTGGCTACTGTAGAGTAAGTCAATTTAAGAAAAATCTACATAAAATTTAATTATTTGCTCCTTATTTGTAATGCTGCCTGGTCCTCTGAAGGCCCTTATGTAGACAGGCAGGCAGCCAGCCCCCAGGGGAAGGCTCCTAATGCACATCACAGTTTGCTTACTATCCTCATGGCTTCTCTTTCCTCTCCCAGAGAAAACGCCCTTTCTCTGTCCGCTGAGGTCTTTCACGGTCCCCCAAATGCTCTATTTGGTCTTAGCCACTTCAATAGAAGACACTTGTGCTGGCTCCTAAAATTCATACTTTATCCACTCAAATTCATCTGCCAAATGATTAGAAGTGTAAGCTTAGAGCAGTGGTCGGTAAACTGTGGCTCGCGAGCCACATGCGGCCCTTTCACAAAATACCACAATCTGGGCAAGTCTATTTTGAAGAAGTGGCGTTAGAAGAAGTTTAAGTTTAAAAAATTTGGCTCTCAAAAGAAATTTCAATTGTTGTGCTGTTGATATTTGACTGATGTGTGGCTTGAGAGGCGCAGTTTGCCGACCATGGGCTTAGAGGGTTTAAGTTCTGTAAATTGACTTTTAAGATCCCTTCGTTTGTATCTCCTACAAGAAAGCCACTTCTGCTTCACTTGCTGCCCATTTTGATCTGGCGTCTCGATCACCCCGTGAGTCACTGGCTGCTGGAAGTCTAGATGGCAGACCAAAGGCAGGCCCATGTCCAGTGCAGGGCACAGCGAAAGCAGCTCTTAACAGGTGACCTCAAAACAGAACAAACACCCATCTTACCTTTCACAGGAATGTTTGACCGATCTTTACATTTCTTTTCCTTCAGTTTACACACACACACACACACACACACACACACACAAATGTAATAGAAAGACTTGCATTTAAATAATTATTCTGGAAAATTCATCCAGAGCTGCTCCAGTGGACAATTCTAGAAAATAGAATTATACCCAGAAAATCTCACTTTTATAATGGACCTTTTTGCCTTCCTTAATATAAATTTGATAATTACAAATAGAATGAACTACCACCACAATGATCAAAAGTATCAAGTTTCATTTAGACATTTTAGAAGAGTAATAACTGATATATCTAATAAAAGTACTCAGGAAATATTTCTCCAGTACTGAAAATAATGTTTGGCAGGAAATCAGTTACTTACGAATTAAGTTCTTCATTATTGTCAACAAAAACATATATATGATTTCAAGTTAGCCAGCATTTAATTTTGTGAAAAATTATTGTGAACATGCAGAGGTAAGAACCATTAGTTAAAAGTGCTGCTCTTTCAAAGCTGTTAATAGAAAAGTTACTGAGTAGCTGGTGCTGGTTCAGTTTATTCTATAGATTTGCAATTTTTAAAAAATATAGACATCCCATATGAACCTAAACTCATGATAAAGCTTCCAGGAATATTCAGGATTACCAGTTTAAATGACTTAATTGTTAATCTTGTATAAAACTCCATTTCAAAAAGCAGTCCTTGCCAAAGCTGGTTTTGCTCAGTGGATAGTGTTGGCCTGCGGACTGAGGAGTCCCAGGTTCGATCCGGTCACGGGCATGTACCTTGGATACGGGCATATCCCCAGTGGGGGGTGTGCAGGAGGCAGCTGATCGATGTTTCTCCTTCATTGATGTTTCTAGCTCTCTATCTCTCTCCCTTCCTCTCTGTAAAAAAATCAATAAAACATATTAAAAAAAAAAAAAAAAAGCGGTCCTTGCAATTATTCTCAAAACTACTGGGGGGAGGGGGAAGTTTTTGGTTTTTGTGTGTGTGTGTTTTTTTTAAAATATATTTTATTGATTTTTTACAGAGAGGAAGGGAGAGAAATAGAGAGCTAGAAACGTCGATGAGAGAGAAACATCGACCAGCTGCCTCTTGCACACCCCCTACCGGGGACGTGCCCGCAACCAATGTACATGCCCTTGGCCGGAATCGAACCCGGGACCCTTCAGTCTGCAGACCGACACTCTACCGCTGAGCCAAACCAGTTTCAGCAAAAGTTTTGTTTTTTTAATTTCAAAGTGGACAAAAGTTCACTTAAAAGTTCATGAGATATTTCATTTCTATTAACTGTCCCTTAGTTTAACTGAAATATTGTAATAAAAAACATTGCAGTTCCTTATACAACTGCTCAGAAGGCTTGGAGATTCCCTCAAGTGTCTAGTATTCTTTTCAGTAGACTGCTTCAAAGCTGTGGGAAAGAACCCCTGAAGGGCCCGCCGTGCCAAGCGGGCACTGGCAGTGGGAGAGAACAACTCACCATCCCTCTGTGTGTGCAGGGCATGAAAAAGGCCAGGTGCAGATCCCACTGTGTCCGAAAAGGTGGCCCCGCCCCCACAGCTCCCGCTCCTCCTCTCACAGCTCCACTCCCCTGGGATAGAAAGAGTGAGCGGGGACCTGACTGCAGGTCTTCAAGACTTTCGTTCTTTCCAGGGTGTCTCAGCTTGCCATGTGCTCTTCATGCATGAGACTATTTTGTAAATGGCAGTGCCTTTGGGAGCCGGGATGATATCTCAATCCCTAGGACCTTTTCACTGACAAACCAAAAAGCCAGGTATGACCCTGGTTGGTGTGACCCAGTTGGTTAGAGCATTGTCTTGTGCACCAAAAGGTGGTGGTTCGATCCCCACCACCACTCTCTTCCTCACTTCCTGTCTCTGAAATCAACTAAAAAAAAAAAGGCTGCAAATGAAGGAGTTGGACTCAACTTAAAAAATACTAGGTATAGCTATTCTAAATGGAGTTTGCCTGAATTGTATACTGTTTCTGGGAATGCAAGTTATACATCAGAAAGTGAACTTGCTCTGGCCTCAGTGGTTAAGTGGTTGAATGTTGGCCCGTCCCTCAAAGGGTCCAGATTCTATCCCTAGCCCTGGTTGGGGAGCGAGCAAGAAGCAACCAATTGATTTGTCTCTCTCACACTGATTTAAAAAAAAAATTCTCTCTAAAAACATTAATGGAATCCGGCCAGTGTGGCTCAGTGGTTGTGTCAAGCTATGAACCAGGAGGTCATGGTTCGATTCTCGACCAGGGCACATGCCTGAGTTGCAGGCTCAGGAGGCATGCAGGAGGTACCAATCAATGATTCTCTCTCCTCATTGATATTTCTATTTCTTCCTCTCCCTTCCTCTCTGAAATCAATAATTTTTTAAAAAATTAATTGAGCCCTACCCAGTTTGGATCAGTGGATAGAGCATCAGCTTGTGGACCAAAGGGTCCCGGTTCTATTCCAGTCAAGGGCACGTACCTCAGTTGCAGGTTCCTTCCTGGCCTGAGCCCTGATGGGGCTCACGCAGGAGGTAACCAATAGATGTATTTCTCTCACATCAATGTTTCTTTCTGTCTTTCCCTCTCTCTTCTATTTTCCCTAAAAATCAATGGAAAAATATCCTCAAGTGAAGATTAAAACAACAACAAAAAAGGAAGTTGGACTCAACTAATAAAGTGAACAGTTTCATACCAACAGCTGCCGAGATCTCTAATTCTGCTATGTATTGCAATGCTTACATGAGACGCATGGACGGCAAAACCTTGGTTTGTCAAGTATGGTGCTGACAAATTATGTGAAGAGGTTAAAAGAAATAAAAAAGCATGATGTCTTGGTGTTTCAGTTAGTCCAAATATACTAGTTTTAATGTGATAACTGAAGCTCTGAACTAATCTGACAGATGTGCCCTACTACAATATTTCACCAGCAGCCAGCTAATATTCTGATTGTTTAAAATGACAGTAAGCTCAGAATAAATGTTATAGGGTAAATTGTGAACTTGATTAAATAGTACGTGAAACAGAGCAATGTGGAGTTAGACAAATGGGTGGCTGTCTCCCACAGACATGTGCGTGTGTCCATGCATGCTGCTAAGAGCTGCCTCATGCAGGACAGAGGGCAATCAGCAGAAGGACAGGAGGGCCAGAAACACACAGTGCCCAGGAGTTGCCCCTCCTCCAGAGCGCCAGCCATTCAGAGTGTACTTAACCCTTCGGGTGCTTTCGTCCCTGGACCAGGAAAGTGTGGAGGGGAAGGAAGGCAGAGATGAAGAGGAGGTCACAAGTGCACTCCTCCCGATCTAAAAGGGGAAAAAGAAACACACTCGGGAAAATACATACAACAAAAGCCCTACCACCTACCCAGTTTCCCAGGAAGAGTCCTAAAAAGCTACTCAATCCTCGAGATCAGTGCTGAAGTTTCTGTGACCAGCAGCTGACAGCCACACTAGCCGATGACAAATGCCCAGACATGTTCAATCCCTTAGTGAAATACCTTCCAGAAATTACTAGGAATTTTCTTCAATATAAAGGAGAAGATAATATCTAGCATAATTTATCAAATTTGCCGATAATTAAAAAAAAATAGCCTTACACAAATATTTTTAATTAAGACAGATAATATGAAATGAGAAAACTATATGAATGATTAAAAGTTGGTATGTTATCAATCTATTTTTTAGTAGATATAAATCTTTTACAATAATAAAGTAATGACATTCTTACATTCCAAGTGTTTCTAAAATAAAAATATATACTATGAAAACTAACAAAGTTTGCTTTTCTTAAATTTTGTTTTCAGTTATACAAAAACGAGTTTTTTAATTTAGTTCAATGACATTCCTTTACACCAAAAGTATCAAATCAACTACTTTAGAATGTTTAGCCCAAACAACTTAAAAAGTTGAATATACTCCCATACAATATAACACAGTAATTTTTACCACACTAAAGCTGGACAAAATTAAACTAGGGATCAATTTACCAGACCATACACATTCTTTACTTTGAATTTTCTCTAAGAATTTTTTGGAAACTCTTACAAAATTGACTGAAAAAAATAACAACTGACATTCAAAAAGATAAAAATTATTCTCTAAAATTATCACATAAGTTCACAACATCTGTGACATTTGGTCAAAACAGATTTTTAAAATAAATCAATCTGGAAGAAATATATTATTTCACAACACAATTATTATCCCATTGTAAAATAAGATGTTAGCAGCCTGTTACAAAACACAATCTTTGGAATACAACACTTGTAAAATCGATGTAGAGTGTTTACACCTCATTCTTGTGAAAGGACAAAGCAGTGCATTCTCCAGAGTGGGGCGGCAGGGGATGCAGAGGCAAAGCAGGCGCGCTGACCACACGTGCAGAAGCTGTGGAGCCCAGGAGCTGTGTGTGTCCCCACCACAGATGCCACCTGCTCAGCATTCTAGGGCTCTAGCTCATAAAGGGGCATGCACCCGTCTTAACCACCTCAAAGAAGATGGCACTTACTTCTAGTGGCGACCTTAACAATTTGTTTTTGTTTTTGGAAATGGGGGAGAAAGTTGGTTATAAGAAAATACAATTCCCACAGGGAGAGAAAGGGGAGGGGAGAACTTTTGGCCAAAGACTCTGTTGCTTGTGGTGCTCCCACAGCATCTGTCAACATGTTAAAACACAAACACAACTCGCATAGCCCAATGTGGCGAAGTAGAGACACGGGCATCTCCAGGTTCAGAGGAGGGAATGCAGGAGGCAGGCTGCAGAGAGGGGCCGGGGAAGCGCCAGTGGTGGTACTTACGTGTGCAGGGAACGGCTGCAGCCTCGTCCTGCTCTCTTCGGGGTGGTTCGCTTCCCCCACTGGGAGATACGCCTTCTGACCTGATCCCGTCTCGTACATGGACATGGGTCTACTGCCCCGGGCAGACGGACGCCGCTTTAAGGAAGAGTGGCTGGAAGTATCTGGGTACTCAGAACCCGTTTGCACCTGATATATTTTGGTTGAGGCCTGTTTCCTGAGGTTCGAATTTTCACTCTGCAGTGTTTGAAGCTGAAAGAAATGTTTGGCAGTGGGACTGTGTTTTTCTACAGCAAGCAGAAAAAGCAAACACCAAATAAATGCATACAACTACCAGCTTTAAACAATAAAAACAATAGCAGCTAGCTGGGTCGAAAGTAAAAGGCAACTGTAAATGAGAACTCTATCTTCTAGAATGAATAAAACGCAATCAACTCACTTCATCACTGAAGCACGATAAACAGCTTAATTTCTAAATATAGAAAAGTTGCAGATTAGATTTTTTAAAACAAATGTCTAACAACTTAAAATTTGGTCATGGCAGACCTGAGAAATGTTTGCAGGCAAGCACTCTGGATTTTCCTAAGGCTGTTGCTAGCAGGAGCTTGAGGTCATTAAGACATCGCATAGGTAACTTGCTTTTCAAATGAGCCCTGAGCAATTTGCCAAAATGCCAGCGGACACCATGGAAGCAGCACAAAAGTTACTGGAGTTGCAGTGCAAAGCAAGAAAGACAGTGAAGTTCAGCTCATGAAAAATCAGGTCAGCTACTTCCCAGAAAGCCAACAGGAAAAATTATAATCAACAAGCTTTTATTACATAATATTCTTGATGTTCCAAACAATGTAGCACATGTTAAAAAAGAGAGGGAACGAATCATGGTACGCTTGCTATATTAACATGTTACACAGAAAACTGAAGACCTGTTCTGTTAGCATCTTCATCTGAATGCTCCACGTAGCACGCTCGCTTCCCTTTGGCGACTGGTTAGCTTTCAGCCAGAGCTGGAATATGTGGACTCTCTCTCCTTTGGTTTTGTCACCCAAAATCACAACCATGATGGTGTCAGCTTTAAACACTCTAATCTGCCTGGCACCACCCTGTTTTAGTTAGAGGCTGTCACTTGGAGACCCTGAATGCTCTTTCCATTCCTCACATGCAGGCTGCTTCATGGTGTCTGATGAATTCGAGTTAAGGGATCAGCAAGGAATCATGTTACTCGTTGGCGTCTGGCATTTTAAACACAATTAACTGAGTCCAGTCTGCAATGTCCTTCCCCTCTGGTGCTCCTTCATCTTCCGTGACACTGTCTAAGCTGGGTGTGGTGTGAGTTCAGCTGTCTACTCTTTGACAGTGATTGTAAAATCTGACCAAACTGCCCACCAGGGCCAAGGCTCAGGTCCGCAAGCAACTGTATCTGCACCAGAAGATCATTACTTTTTCGATAGCAAACCATTCAGTGTTAGGAGTTACTTTCAATTTTTATTTATAAAGCACCGATCTGTGAAAATGCACCAATAGTGGCTGCTCCTCTTCATTAATTAGCATCTTTTCCAAGCAACTGTTAAAATGTGAAAGATCAAATAGAAATCACGCTACTTTGTCAACTCAATATATTTATATATTAAAAAACTTTACCTAACTTTGAAATAAAATCAATACATCTTTGTTAAATAAACATATCTCACATACTTTATATTAATAGTGCCAAACTTCTGGAAAAGCCTGGCGTACTGCCTCTGTCAGAGAAATACCCTCATCTTCCGTTTTCTCGAAGAGTGACCCACTAAGGACTGCTCCTACACCACACAGGCTTTCAGGACCTCACATATCTGCAACTCCCTTCCCAAAGAAGGAACCACAGCTGCAAAGTGACAAGCAGCCATGGAAAATCCCGGCATTCCAGGACACAGACAGGCGTAAGGTGCCTGTCAAAACTATGTACCAGGGGCCGGGACCGGTTTAGCTCAATGGATAGAGCGTCGGCTTGGGGAATGAAGGGACCCGGGTTCGATTCCGGTCAGGGGCATGTACCTTGGTTGCGGGCATATCCCCGGTGGGGGGTGTGCAGGAGGCGACTGATCGATGACTCTCTCTCATCGATGTTTCTAGCTCTCTGTCTCTCTCCCTTCCTCTCTGTACAAAAATCAATAAAATATATTAGTAAAAAAAAAACAAACAAAAAAAAAACAAAAAAAAACTCAATGCTTTATATTTAAAAAAAAAAAAAAAAAAAAAAAAAAAACTATGTACCAGGGAACCCATATCCTAAAGTGAAATGGTCAAGGTCCAAAGAGTGAGGAGCTTAACTGACACATGCCTGCCAGGGAAGGAGTGGGTGTCTGGTCACATGTCTGTCTATGTAAAAGCCTTCTCTTAAGAGTGTTTAAGACAAGGATGTTTCATGTCTCTGAAACATCCAGGCTGGATTTTGCTTGCAAGTGTTTTGATGAGCACAAGTTCCTGGTCTCAATTTTTAAGAACTTTAGTATTCTTTATTTAGAGGGACGTCTTGGAGGAATCAGAATACTTATCTAAATGAGAACTAGACCATTTTTTTTTTATTTGGAAGGAGTATAACAGGAAATAAAAACTTACAGCTAGTCCAATAGTTTCAGAAATCAAAAGCTTTTCCAAGAATTGAGGAAATAATCCATGAGCAACAGTAAATAATTTCATTCTATATTTCTTAAAGAAGCCTAAGACATTTGCTTTCAGAGATAGGTTATCTCTGGCAATTTCTACACGTACTAAAAGGAGCATTAAAGAATCAAAAAGCTGATGCTTAACAGGTTGATTTACAGTGGCAACGTCAGCATGTTTCAGAAAAAGGCACCTCAATGAAATTATTAATTCAATTAATGGGTCAAACTGTAATTTATTAAACAGGTATTTCAGAAAAGACAGAGGAAGTGCAAGCCTTGTGTTACGGCTGCATACCAGGGCCAGCGAGGCAGAGTACAAGTGTTAGGTTAAAATCTGACTGATCTTCGTGTCCCCTCCTATGATAGCTATCTCTATCTCAAAAAGGTCTCCACAAATGATCTAGAACTCAGCACCAGAAGAACCCTTGACTACGCCCAGGCCAAGGCGCACTGCAGGGTACTTCCCTGACAAGCAGAGGGCACAGCCCCTTAGTTCTGTGGCCTTCCTTTAGGAAGCATCACTGAAAAGGGCCCAGCCACAGATGACCTGCACCACGTCCTCTGTTCTTGATCATGATTCTGAAGCATGACTCTGCGAATGCCTTTGTTTTGTTTCTGTATAAGGGAAGTGTACAAAATCCATATTGTGGAGAATTGAAGGACGAAATTTTCAACTTTCTTAGAATTCTCATAAAAAATTACATATGTAATCCACATCTTAAGCAAATTCCATGCTACTGTTAGCCACACTTCTTTTAAGGATTAATATATTCATATATTTCTGACTCTCTTAAAAGGTAGTGAACGAGAAAATGCTAAGCCTATGGGGTTATTAGTGAACATCTCTCACTACTGTAAACAGAATGTTTGCTTATATTCACAGAGAACCTGCTCTGTGCAGGCCCTGCTCTAAGCTCTGAGGAATCATAAACTAGCAGTGAAGCACTGGTGAAAAGGAAAGTGGGGGTGCAGGACGGGGCTGCCAGGGCGGGGGTGGATAATGACTCAGAATAAGAGTGAAGAGGGACAGCACCCCTGGCATGGTGCGGGGTGGGGTATGATGCGTAATGCTGATAAACAGGGGTTTCATCTGCTCTGTCTTCCGGTATGGTTATTCTTGTATTGTAGAATGAGCAATAGGAAGAATCATATCCACGGAGTGACATCCAGGATCCCAGGAGGCACAGAATGGTGCAAGGTTTACTACAACTGATAGAAGCACCCAACAGGCTGTGGCTTTCTTCTATTGGGACACTTACTCTGTGTTTACTTATCAAAGCTACCTGCAATATCCAAATACTACTTCCAAAAAGACAGCTTGGCCCAAAGATTTTTAGGTTACAATAACTGTTTTTTCTTCCCTCTAACCACAAGTGTCATGCCTGGGATTCTTCCTTATACTAAGGGGTTAAAGCGTCAATCATCCTGGCATTTATTAACATGTTACCTTTTTCTGCATAATTCTCAGCTCGTCACTCAAGTTGTTATTCACCTTCATTAGCTGTTGTATCTTGGCCTCAGAAGCCACTAGAGCGTTTTTGACCTCCATAAATTCCTGCACAGTGACTGGTCCATCTGATAAATCTGAATCTAGGCTCTAAAAATAAATTGGGGAAAATGTTCACAATCTGAGACGATGATAACATTCAAGACTAACAGCTAAAGAATTTCAAATTCTGACCATGCCAGCTGGACTGCAAAGTTAATCAAACTAAATCAAGGCTTCTGAGGGTAATGCAAAAATAAAACATAAAGGTGGGGTTACTATAATATTTTAAAAAATTTAAAGTCAATATTTTCTAACAAAATAGGCAGTAGGGCTATAAACCTACTCTGACAATGACTCTCTAAATGCACTTGTCTTGTCTGCCTTTCCTTGCTCATTCATTTTTTCTTTTTATTCATTCTTTAATCCATTCATTCAAACAAAAGTTTATTGAGCACCAGGCAGTGTTCTGGGGATATATAAGAAAAGAAAATAGACTACGATTCCTACTCCATGGCATTTATATCCAACAGAGTGAGGGCGGGGGGAGGAATAAAAACAAGTGACTATACAGTCTGACTGAAGGTGGTAAGTGTAGTAGGAAATGGATAACATGGAGAAGGGTAAGGGGCTAGGGAGCTCAGGTAGGGATGAAGATGGGCATTTTACTTAGACAGACGGGGAAAGCCTTTGGGGAGGTGAGATGTGAGCGGCAGCCTGAAGAAGGTGAGGACATTAGTCAGATGGCTGTCTAGAAGAAAAACATTCAGCCAGTGGCAGAGCTCAGCTAGAGGGAGTGGGTGTGCAGCGCAGAGAGGAGTGGGAGGCCCGTCAGTCCACAGAGGACCCTTTCCCGTAGGGTCCTGCCATGACCTTCACTTTCACCGAGAAAAGCAGTGCTGCTAGGAAAACCTGGCAGGGATGTTTCAGACACGTGACTCTCGCTGTCCTCTCCGCATTCCCTGCATCTGCCAATGGCACCACCATTCTCACAGTCATGTGAGCTACAAACCTGACAAATGTTCTGTAAGTTTATCTCCCCCGTTCAAACATCCAACTTAATGCCAAGGCTAGTCTATTCCATCTTCCTGCCCACACATTCTCAAAAGTTTTCGGAGCCCCTCTGTGGACTAGGTCAGGGCCAAGGTCCTGGGGATTCAGCAGAGGGTGGACCAGCCAACCCCTGCTGCTCCTCGGTGCGCTCACACTCTGCCACAGTGATCTCTCTCCATCTGGACCTCCCAGCCAAGCCTTCACGTGGTCTGGCCAGCCGTTGGGTAGTATCCTGATTGGGTTCCTTTCCTCTCCTCTCTGAACTTCCAAAATACTCCTCCCAAAATACGGAACCCAAAATGGCTCGCCACTGCCTCCTGCTCTCCCTAAAAGCTTCCTGGGCTCGGCTCCGCCTGCCATGTGCTCTTCAGTCTGGCACATGGTGTGACCTCCGCCTGCTGCTGCAGCCTTAGTTCCCACTCCTTTTAGGCTCTCTACACATCACCAGTCCACCCCCTTCGCCCCCAACCAGATGCCCTTATTTCATTTTCTCTCTGCCTAGACCACTCCTCCCTGCCTTTCACATGACCAATCCAATGCACCCTTTAAGACATGTGAAGAGCCATCCTATTTACAAAGCCTACGCTATACCCCTCAGCAACAAGTTGTGTCTCCTCTCGGCTCCTGTCTATGACATGCATCAGTGTGGGCCTCGTACTGCAGCTGCCTCTCCGCTTAGGCAGTGACAGCCTCACAGGAAAGGGACCAGACTCGGTCAGGGGAGTATTACTCAGAGCAGTCCTTGGTAAACATTTGTTGAAAGAATAAAACACACAGTCCCTCCTCACAAGTTTTATAAAGTCACAACTGCAGCAGGGCTATGTGACTCAGCAATGACTCAGGGACAAAGGACTCCCACTTACCTCGCCTGACCTCTGCTGGGCCCAAGCTCGTTAGTGAACTCAACTCTACCTCCCAGCACTTCCACGGGGCAGGAGAAGAGATGTTTAAAAGAATCACAGCCTCCCTTCCTGTGAGTCCTCTCACCTTCTGCCTGTTGGCCTTGCTGGCAGTGGCTTCCAGATCTGTGTCTTCATCTGACGCCACACTGTCATAGTCCGGCTGGTCATTGTCTTGACTCTCAATACTGTGCTGGTTATTGATGGTTTTCAGTATGAGCTCCACATTGTCTATCAATAGAAGCAAATAACTTTATTCAGGCCTAAAAAAAAAAAACTTTTAAAAAAGTTATTGGGACAATGTTCTAACCAACTAAGCAACATGGCCAGGGCCTTAAAAAAAAGTTTTCCCCAAAAAGACTATTGGGAGGATTTTTGGGTTGCTATTTAAAAGACTGAAAAAAAATGACAGCAATAGCAACCAGACAGATAGCCTACTACAAACTGCAAAGAGAGATTTAAGCATCCCCCTGAGCTACTCACCAAATGTGGGCAAATAATGAGATTGCTTATGAAAGAGCTGATCAAAGGAGGCTGGTTCCCAAGTTTCTAATCATTTAGTGAGATAGAGTATAGCTCCAAATCATGAAGATAAAGCTGTGCTAATGCAAGCTTAATTGTGATTAACCAGGTAACATCAAGTCAAGATAGAAAGATTGTTAAAGTGGAGCCTAAAAAGTAGGTGCTCAAAGAGCAGGCACAGGTATTTAGTCAGCTGGATGCCAGTGAGAGAGGAAAAAACAGAATGACCCAGTAGCCAAACACATGTGCATATTAGAAAGGAATGGTCTATAAGGGAGCAGGGATGATTCAATGGGCTCTAACACATCTATCTTATCTAATAAAAGAGTAATATGCAAATAAACCACCACTGTGCTACACCCACAAGCCACACCCACCAGCCAAACAGTAGTGAGTATGCAAATTAACCCAACCAAGATGGCGACCAGCCACAGAGGGAGCAGGAGGCTTGGGTTTCCTTGGTGAAGGAGGAAGCCAAGCTTTCCGCCTACTCTGGTCAGCCCTGGCCTTCGCTCAAGGCTAAAACGTTTTAATGATAGAAGATAAATAAATCCCAATAAAAATGGCTGCAGCCACAGAGTGAGCAGGAGGCTTGGGTTTCCCTGGCGACAAGAGGAAGCCAAACTTCCTGGCCTGCTTTAGCCTCCATTCAAGGCTACAAAGTTTCAATTATAGAAGATAAATAAATCCCAGATCCCAGGACCTCCTCTTGGGTCACGGGGGAGCGAGGCCAGCCTGCAAACCACCACAGGGCCCTCGCCCAGGCCACCCCACACTTCAAGGAAACCCCCACCCTGATCCAGGACACCCATCAGGGCAAACCAGTTGGCCCCAACCTGTGCACCAGGCCTCTATCCTATCTAATCCTATCTAATAAAAGAGTAATATGCAAACTGATTATCACTCCAACACACAAGATGCCTGCTCCTATGTGGTCAAAGATCCTGCCCCCATGTGGACACAAGATGGCTGCCACAAGATGGCCAGCAGGGGAGGGCAGTTGGGGGTGATCAAGCCTGCAGGGGAGGGCAGTTAGGGGTGACTAGGCCAGCAGAGGAGGGAAGTTGGGGGCAACTAGGCCTGCAGGGCAGGGCAGTTGGGGGGGGGGGGGGCCCAGGCCTTCAGGGGAGAGCAGTTGGGGGGTGACCAGGCCTGCAGGGGAGGGAAGTTGGGGACAATCAAGCTTACAGGCGAGGGCAGTTAGAGGCAACCAGGCCAGCAGAAGAGGGAAGTTGGGGGCGACCAGGCCTGCAGAGGAGGGCAGTTAGGGGCAATCAGGCTGGCAGGGGAGCAGTTAGGCACCAATCAGGCTATCAAGGGGGTGGATAGGGGGTGATCAGGCGAACAAGAAGTGGTCAAGGGCAATCAGGAAGGCAGGCAAGCAAGCAATTGGGAGCCAGCAGTCCTGGAATGTGCAAGAGGCAGCTGATGGATGATTCTCTCTCATTGATGTTTCTAACTCTCTATCCCTCTCTCTTCCTCTCTGTAAAAAATCAACAAAACATATATATTTTTAAAAATTATTATTTGCCCAGCCAGTGTGGCTCCGTGGTTGAGTGTAGACCTATGAATCAGGAGGTCCCGGTTTGATTCCCAGGTAAGAGCATATGGCCAGGTTGTGGGCTGTGTGTAGGAGGCAGCCAATCAATGATTCTCTCTCATCATTGATGTTTCTATCTCTCTCTTTCCTCTCCTCTCTGAAATCAATAAAAATATATTAAATATGTATAGTTTTAAAAAATATTATTTTATACTGTCATTACATATTCTCTGAAAAAGAAAGTCTGTGCAATACTATTCAAATACGTGACTAAATGTTATGTTTCTAATGTTTTCAATATTATATAATATATGATACACATATTTGAACAGAGTTAATAATGTTGAAATATTTGTAAATATTTGAAATATATGACACCTCTGATTATTTCTCAATTAACATCTAGAAATAGAACCTCCAAATCAAAAGTGTACATTTTGATACTCCATATTTATTAAAGGACCCTTATCATTGCATCTTCACCAAAGTTTAATAAGCTTTCTTAGAACTTGATTACTCCTGGTCAAACCAGTAAAATCAAGAACAAATTGTTGTCAGTTAGTGAGTACTTACTGTCTTTGGGAATATAATATTGACTGAAAACTTATTTTTTATGGTATGTACTTCTGTTTAAATGTTTTACAATAAAATGTATTATAATTAGAAAAAAGCTATGAAGACAGTTTTGTGGCACAAGGCAGCATTTCTTATGCACAGAGACAGGTCCCTGAGTTATGGAACAAACCTCTACAGGGCACGGAAACAGGCACTCGTGCTGTCTACAACTTAACCCACAGTAATTCTCACGGTTGGCATCTCAAGCTCATAGTAACAAACTTTAAACATCTGGAACCCAGTTTTGTTTTGTTTGTTTTAAATATATTTTTATTCAGAGAGGAAGGGAGAGGGAGAGAGAGATAGAAACATTAATGATGAGAGAAACATTGATGGACTGCCTCCTGCACACCCTCATTGGTGATAGAGCCTGCAATCCGGGCATGTGCCCTTGACCAGAATTGAACCTGGGACCCTGCAACCTGCAGGCCAGCGCCCTATCCACTGAGCCACACCAGCTGGGGCTAGAACTCAGTTTTGTAGGTAAGCAACAGCAGATGAGCTGTAATTTCAATAAAGAGGGCTTATTTTCTTATGTACTTTAACAAGATCTAAGTCAGTTAATTTCAGGATGCAACTTTATAGGTATAAAGATAGGTGACACAAGAGGGAAAAGTCACATATATGATACACATATTTGAACAGAGTTAATAATGTTGAAATATTTGTAAATCACCAGGGCTCACAGAGGTAAACTTTTTCCCCCAACATGATACCAATAAAACTTCTAGGGTTTTTTAAGCTATTCTGCTGATGACTGCTCTAATCATTTTATAACTTTAAATCTAGCACTTGTGTGAAATTTAGAAGACCAAAGAAGCAAAACTGGTTTGAAACAGTTACCTTTTGAACCAGAGAGAGGACTGCCTTGCTGTCTCCTCTTGGCATCACTGAGAATGTCAATAACCAGCGTGGCAAACTCATGTGCATTAAACCGAGCTAATTTCTGTCTGCCCTGAAGATGAAAAAATAATTGAAAATATTCCCAAATGTCAAAATACACACATAAATATTCACATAAAAATAGTCAGGCTATTGTTAGACTTTGGCAAAGACCTTCCAGCATGATTAACGCATCATCAACCATAGCCAAACTGAACCAACATTAACATTTTCCTTGCCATCAGTTTAAAAACATTTACATAGGATAACTATATAACATTTAAATTCTCACAATGCATATATATTTTGGGGAACAAAACTAAATTAATTCTACTTACAGCTCCCCCGTCCTATTATCAAGCCATTTTTAAATAGATGTAGTAATAAAAAATTAATTTGGAGGAAAATTTTAAAATTGCAAGATAAATTTATAGTCTATATGCCAGGATTCCATCATTATATATATCCATTAATCAATAAAAATTAAAAAGACCTTCCTAATTTTATCAACTTCTTTCTTTCTGATGGTGCTTAGGCCGTTTTTAATGCTCTACTGCTACATACAGAGCTTCAATGAACATCGTTCATTGTACACGAATCTCTGTATTTTTATTTTATTAGAACATATCCCCAAATAAAGAATTCCCATCAGAAAGGACAGGCACTTAATTTTGAGGCTTCTGAAATAAGTTAGCAAATTGTTTTTCTAAAGTCTGGAACAACTGAAGCGCTTATCTGCAGCATGAGAAAGCCCATCTAGCCAGATCCTTAACAGTTTTGAGTACCTCTTATTGTACACTTTATTATTTTATTGATGAAACTTTCATTAATGCCTTTAGGTTGCTTTGTTTATTTTTTTCCACATGAAAGGCCATTTATATTTCTTCTGTGAATTGTGTTCTTGCCCAGGCATGTACTGCTACCTACCGCTTTTCTTACCAATTTGTTAAGTTTGTGTGTGTGTATAAAGGCCATTAATATTTGAATAAAAAATATTAAAATACCTGTCTTAGAAAAATACCAAGGTATCAACTGTTCTCAAAATATCACCCTGGTCACTTTTCACACTCAGCCACTTGCCTGGTTCCGTGTGGATGAGTACTCGGGGTTGACCGGAAGGAAGGGAACGACGGTGGTCTCGGTCACCAGGGTGCTGTGGTTTTGCGTGGCAAGCCAGACTAGCCAGGGGAGAAAGCCAGAGACAGAATCTCATCACCATGGGTGCGCCACTGCTCCTCTGAGAACCGCAGCCCCACCTTCCTAGGGAGACTCAAGGAAGCACACTCCGAAGCCAACATACACAGGAGGAAATGTGCACACACGTGTTATCAGGACAGGAACAATTGGGCAAGTAAACACTGAGGCTGGCAGCTTGTCACTGCCCACCGATAACAAGCATATTAGATAAAGCCCCACGTTAAGTCACCTGCATCAGTCTCTCGCCTGTCAACTTCATCGTACACATCCATGGCAAGTTCTTCAAACAAGTGATTACTTAGCTGAAAGTAAAAAAAATCAGGAACACAAGGGACAAGGATTAGCACTAGCAGAATGAGTGGGGACTGTGACTTATTCACCCTTTTACCTCCAATGTTTTATGCAGAGCCAGTGCTTAGGAAATACCCACTGTAACACAGACAGTAACATTTCCAAAAGAGCGCAGATCCTGATTGACCTGCCTCCCAGAGCAGCCTCACTCTCTGGTGTGCAGACAGGGCTGTGCTACAGAGGAGGTAAGAGACATCTAAAGCGCCTCTCTCAAACACAAGTTTTAGTGCTCTACTCTTCATGTGATATCAACTTGAAGTCTTCTCTTTTGCTCTTGAGAATGTTTGCCAATGTCCCCAAATATAAGGGGTCATAAACCCTTGGCAGGATAAAGATGCCAAAACATGCAATTTTGAGAGGAGAGAAGTTGCCATCGCATAAAAATATCACTGCCCTGGCCAGGGTGCTCAGGGTTTAGAGTGCTGGCTCTCAATCTGAAGGATCGTAGATTCAATTCCTGGTCAAGGGCACATACCTGGGTTTCAGGTTTGATCCCCAACCCATCGGGGTAGATGCAGGAAGCAACCAATCAATGTGTCTCTCTCACATCAGTGTTTCTCTCTCTCTTCCCCCCCTTCTCTAAAAAAATCAATGGAAAAAAATATCCTTAGTCCGGCCAGCATGGCTCAGTGGTTGAACGTTGACCTGTGAACCAGGAGTTCACAGGTTTGATTCTGGTCAGGGCACATGCTCAGGTTGCAGGCTCAATCCCATGTGGGGCATGTAGGGGGTAGCCAATCAATGATTCTCTCTCATCATTAAGATATATATGTATCTCAATATACATATATCTAAAATATACATATATCTGAAATCAATAAAAATGTGTTTTAAAAAATCGCTTCTCGACCTTTTAGCTAAGATCAAGTGTAAAAATGTATTTTAAAAAATATCCTCATATTAACAAAAATAAGTAAAATAATAAAAAATATCACCAGAGCCGAAACCGGTTTGGCTCAGTGGATAGAGCATCGGTCTGCAGACTGAAGAGTCCCAGGTTTGGTTCCGGTCAAGGGCATGTACATGGATTGCGGGCACATCCCCAGAGGGGGGTGTACAGGAGGCAGCTGGTCGATGCTTCTCTCTCATCGATGCTTCTAACTCTCTATTCCTCTCTCTTCCTCTTAATAAAAAATCAATAAAATATTAAATATATATATATATATATATATATATATAAAATCACCAGACCTTGGTTAAGCCTCTTTACTATCTTCCTCAGTAGTAGCCCCATTCCCCAGAACTGAGCAGCCCCAACAAGGGACAGGCTGTCTGATCCGTATGCTGTGCAGGGTCAGCCAACAAAATACTCCCCACAGACTAGGTGCCTGCCTGGCAGCAGCCAGGATGGTCAAAGGCAGGGTCTTCCCTAACCCAGATGAGGCTAAGCCCCTGCCAGGGTGTCTCCGGCTCTCTCTATGCTTTTTCCTCACAAATGCACCCTGACAACAGGTGGCTGTTAGTTTTTAGTTGACCTCTCCCCATTCTGTGAGCGTAAACTGAATTTGCTCTGTTCTCTATTGTGTTCTTCACATCCCCACACAGTACCTGGCACTGAGATGGGGCTCAGTACACAGCCAATCACACATTGACACAAGGCATTTTATTCAGCTATTTTAAATGCTGGCTGCACAGACCTCATGGGAACTCACTAAAATGGATACAATACATTGTTGGGTGAAAAAAGCAGGATATAGCCAAAACCGGTTTAGCTCAATGGATAGAGCGTCGGCTTGGGGACTAACGGGTCCCGGGTTCGATTCCGGTCAAGGGCATGTACCTTGGTTGCGGGCATATCCCCAGTAGGGGGTGTGCAAGAGGCAACTGATCGATGACTCTCTCTCATCGATGTTTCTAACTCTCTATCTCTCTCCCTTCCTCTCTGTACAAAATTAATAAAATATATTTTAAAAAAAGAAAAAGAAAAAGAAAAAAGCAGGATATAAAATTCTAAAATTATGATCGAGCCTCATTTTAAAAAGATACCTGAAACAATAATTAGAAGAAGTATTCCAAAATATTGAGGCTGAATCCATTCCCCTTTTCTATTTTCCAAATTTTCTCTAGTGTGGTTACATTACATTTATAACAAAATAAACTCTGAGTCTTTTGCTGGATAAGTTGATGAAGGACTGAAAACTTGAACTTTAATCATGAGTATCTTTTCTCTTTCCTTTTAGGAGGTACAAGCTAATGTTAGTACTAACAATAACTACAACAGCAATACTGATTAAGGGTTTACATCCAAGGCACTGCGCTAATATCATATTTAATATTCACAATACCTCTATGAAATAGTAACTTTTATTATTCCACATAACAAATAAGGAAATTGAGGCACAGAAGTTAGTAGCTTACCTAAATTAACAAAGTCAATAAATGATAATAGATCTGAGATCCAAGTTTAAGTCTCTCACAATGTTAACATTTGCTAATTCAAGGAATACATTATTAGTCTTACTATATTTCTCTTAGCTTTTTGGAAGGGAGGGAGGAAGGAAGGAATAAGATAGAGATGGAGGGAGGAATAGAGATAGGATAAACTTTGAATTGGCAATTATAATATAATTGGCTGCGAGAATATTCTTCTCACCAATTAGGAGACCACAGGTGGGGTCAACAGCAGCAGCAGCTCACTCTCCCTGAGCAGTTCTGAGCTGCAACCCCTGCTACATATAATCTCTTTTCTAGGAGAGGACACCAAGGCACAGAGAGGCTAAGGAGCCTGTCAGAGCTGAGATCTGCACCTGAGCAGTCTGATGCAGAATCCGAGTTCTTGAGAGCTGCTCTCAACTTGGTTCCAGACATTCCCTAGTGCTAGAGATATTACAGACATAGCCCCAGCTTTCATGCAGCTGTCAGCCTAGCGAATGTAAAATAGTCAAAAGGAACTTGGGCTTTATCTTTAATGTTAGAATTATTTAAAATAAAAATTGGTTTACATAATTAAAAGGAAATCACAGAATATTTATTGCTGACTCCAAAGCTTATCATCTTAACTATATGACCTCCTTAATTTAAAAAAGGCGATAAAGCCGAAACCGGTTTGGCTCAATGGATAGAGCGTCGGCTTGGGGACTGAAGGGTCCCGGATTCGATTCCGGTCAAGGGCATGTACCTTGGTTGCAGGCATATCCCCAATAGGGGGTGTGCAAGAGGCAGCTGATCGATGACTCTCTCTCATCGATGTTTCTAACTATCTCTCTGCCTTCCTCTCTGTACAAAATCAATAAATATATATATATTAAAAAAGGCGATAAAACATAGACTCACAAAACCATACAGAACACAGAGACACCAAACAAATTGCATAAAATACATTTATTTCATATTACAGTTAAGTAGTAAGGATAAATTCATTTTATGTAATATTTGGTACTTAATATTATATGATGTTCTAGTAAAGAGTTTTCTGAGAAAAGGGGAATGAAGAGAAAGCCATAAATTAGAGGAGTTGCAATTTCCGTTGGGCTTTGGGAAAACCACTACCTACGTTGTGAAGGTGGTCATTTTCAGCTGCTGACTGATGAAAGGGATGGAGTGGGGAAAGGGGAACGCTGCAGGAAAGGGGGAAAGAGGACTCTGAAAGAGTACCTGAAGGTGGCAGCGAATGGCACACACGGGAACAAGATGGGAGGCAGGGCAGGTAATGACGGTGAGAGAGTTAGATGATGTCCTTAGGGCTACAAAAAAGAACCACCTTGGTTCTGAGCCAGAGAGCAATGGGAACACCTTTTAATCTGGTGGTTAAAAGGGAGGAAGCGCTTTAGTGAAGCTTCATTTGTGGGGACTAAACACAGAGAATTCGTCCCAGAGAGGTAGATTCCTAACCCTAAGGTGGGCAGGCTGGGAAGAAACACTCAGATTAAAGTGAGGCTTGAGCGGCAGACCAAGACAAACTCTGAACACACACCGGGGCAGGCCCCTGCTTTTCAAGCATACATTTATAAAGCTCTGGGAATGGCATGGGATAGGCCAGAGAGTTACAGCCGAGACTGGATCCCAATGGCAGCAAGTGAATCTCTGGTACTCACCGTTCCAGCATCTGCTTTTATCCATCTAAGCAGCCTATGAGGCTACAGGAAGCGATCCCAAGAACTGTGTTCCACTTATACTTATTTACATTTGAAGAAACAGGGTCTCTTTTTATTTTTTTTAACAAGGAACTCTTATAAGGCGAAACAACTTCCTAATAGCAAAAGCACAGTCTTAGCATTTAAAATAACTAAGAAAAATGGCATTATTTGAAGCAGAGCCAATACGCTGGGTATACTGAACATACAGTACTTCCAGTCCTCATGGCTATATACTGAATGGTCTGCTTCTGTTTAACAGCAGCTAAGGGTATGAAATAGTCATGTGATGCAATAGTAAAGAACAGGTTAATGCAGGATACAGTTCCCATACTGGAGTTCACTAGGAAATAGAGATACTCACAGATTGAAGTTTCTTCTTAGCAGCTTTTGCCAATTCAGACAAATCCAGGCTGCTAAGAAAATGTACAAAACTAATAAGCAAATAAATAAAATCTTTTGTGTGTGTGTGTGTGAACTCTGTAGAAGATAAAGTTGGCCAAGGGAGCAAGACATTAGAGTTCATGGTCAGAGCCAAAAATTCTATAGCCTAAAAGAGTCCGTGAGGAAACTTTGAACAGAATAACTTGGTGAAAATAACTCCTTCTAGAAATACTATCATCACCCTGGCCGGTTTGGCTCAGTGGGTAGAGCATCAGTCTGCAGACCAAAGGGGTCCTGGGTTCAATTCCAGTCACGGGCACGTACCTTGGTTGCTAGCTCCCAGCCCTGGTCGGGTGCATGCAGGAGGCAACCAATCGATGTGTCTCTCTCACATCGATGTTTCTCTCTCTTTATTTTTCCCTCTCCGTCTCTCTCTAAAAATCAATGGGAAAATATCCTCAAGTGAGGATTAAAAATAATTAAAAACTGAAATATCATAATCATGTAATATGTTAAAAGAAAAATAATCACCTATTAAATTAAAAGACAAATAAGAGCCGAAACTAGTTTGGTTCAATGGATAGAGTGTCTGTTTGTGGACTGAAAGGTCCCAGGTTTGATTCCGGTCAAGGGAATGTACCTTGGTTGCGGGCACATCCCCGGTAGGGGGTGTGCAGGAGGCAGCTGGTCGATGTTTCTCTCTCATAGACGTTTCTAGCTCTCTATCTCTCTCCCCTTCTCTCTGTTAAAAATCAATAAAATATATTTAAATAAATAAATAAAAGACAAATGAGAAAAGTCACCAGTTTTGAAGTATTAAAAAAAAGCATGGTAGAAGAAAATATCAAAAGGGCAGAATGTGAAAAACCAGAATGGCAAGATTACATCTAGAATAGCAATTAATCATTTCATAAACTCTTGACAGTATTTGTGCAAAGATAACTGGCTAAATTAAGGGTTCATTCCTGCATCTTCAAAATCATCTGACCTTACAGTAACAGCCCACCTTTTGTTTAGCAATGAGCTAAAATGTTTACATTTTTAAATGGTTGGGGTGGGGGCAAGGAAGAATAGTATTTCATAATTTGTGAAAATTACATATAAAATTCAAATTTCAGTATCTGAAAATAACATTTTATTGGAACAGGCATGCCCTTCATTTACATAGTGTCATGGATGCTTCATCTACATCAGCAGAGTTGAGTAGTTGTGACAGAGGCTGTATGGCCCCAAAAGTCTGAAATGTTTACTATCTAGCCTTTAACAACAACATAAAAACTTGCCAATCCCAGTTATAGACAAAGAATATACTCTCTTATAATAAAGAAATATTCTTTGAACATAATCTACAGACATACTGTCACAACTAATACATGGACTCCAATTTTCATATTAGTAAATTTGTTACTTGTGCTCTTTCAAACTTAAGTTTTATATGGTGGTTTACTTACAGCCGTCTTATTTCCAAATTGTATAGCCGTAAAAAAGAAAAATGTATGGGCTTGTTAAACACAAAATATTATACACTTAAACACTATACAACCAAGGAAATATTTGAGACAGATAAAATTAATTGGTATTTAAATGAACTTACCTGTCTGCCATTTGAGGTATTATAAAGTGCTGTCCATTTTTGTGATCTGAAACAGAAACCAAAGCAGAGTTTGTTCATATAAATATTGGTAAGATCTGTAAAGGAGCACCGCCATTCTTTTCTCAGTTTGTTTTGTAATTAGTATCTTCCCATAATTATGAATTATGTGGGAGAACTTAAGTTGCCAAACTGGCTACAAGTTCCCGAAGACTTGGTTAGTAGCAAGGATTGTATTCTCCTTTTCCTTTTGGTACAGAAGTCTAGACATCATTGAGCAGAAAGCCCTCTCTCACTCTAATCCTTATGCTTTGTTCATCCCCAGTGTAAGTGATGACCTTCAGCCTTTGAAAGAAAGCTTAGAGAGCTGAATTAGGTCACAGCAGGCTTCCATTAGCTCTCCAGGTGGCATGGGTGGGGTTCTTTGAGCTTTGGTGGCTCACCTTCAAATTAATCTATACTAATAAAAGGATAATATGCTAATTAGACCGGGCTGCCGGACATCTTCCTGACGTCCAACTTCCTTCCAGACAAAGCAATGGTGGTGGTGGGGTGGGGAGGGGGATGGTGGGGGCGGGGGGGGGGGGGTGCGAGGCAGACAGGGATAATCAGGCTGTCAGGGGAGCAAGCAGTTAGGGGCACAATCAGGCTGGTATGGAGGTGCAAGCAGTTAGGGGCGATATCAGGCCAGCAGGGGAGGCCAGTTGAGAGCAATCAGGCCAGCAGGGGAAGGGAGTTGGGGGCGATCAGGCCGGCAGGGGAGCAGTTAGGGGTTTAGGCAGGGAGGTGAGCAGTTAGGAGCCAGCGGTCCCAGATTGAGGAGGGTGCAGGCTGGGCTGAAGGACAACCCCCCCATGCACGAATTTCATGCACCGGGCCTCTAGTCTATAATAAAAGTGTAATATGCAAATTGACCAAATGGCGGAACACTGTAACAACCATCGAGACAACATTCCAGAAGAAGCCAGGGTAGCAAGGGCTGTGGCAGCCAGGGTCTCAGCCCTTGCACAAATTTCGTGCATTGGGCCTCTAGTCAATTAGTATAAAAGTCTAGACTGGGACAGGTGGTCTTGGCAGATCCAGGCAGGGGCTGTTTTCTACAGTGTTAGCTAACTCCGTTCTAATACAGCTTCTGGAAAAACACTGATCATGTGTCAGTGAATAAAGCCACTATAAGCCTTCATATATAGGTTTTTGTGTAAATATAAGTTTCTCTTGGGTATATCGGATACCTAGGAGTAGGATTGCTACAACAGATTATAAATAAATATATGTTTAACTTGGCAAGAAACTTTTCCAGAGTAGTGTATCATTTTGCTTTCTGTCCAGCAATGTATGGGAGTTAAAGTTGTTTCTCGCTGAAACCGGTTTGGCTCAGTGGATAGAGCGAAGGCCTGCGGACTGAAAGGTCCCATGTTCGATTCCGGTCAAGGCATGTACCTTGGTTGCGGGCACATCCCCTGTGGGGGGTGTGCAGGAGGCGTCTGATTGATGTTTCTCTCTCACCGATATTTCTCTCTCTATATATACCTCTCCCTTCCTCTCTGAAAAAAAAAATCAATAATATATACATATATATATATATATATATTTTTTTAAGTTGTTTTCCATCTTCACCTGAACTTGAATTGTCAGGTTTTTAAATTTTTACTTGTATTTTAGTAATTATAATATGTAGTGGCATTTCACTGCAGTTTTAATTTGCAATTCCTTAATGACTAATGATATTAAGCTTCTTTCTTCATGTAATTATTATTTTTTAAATTTATCTTTATTGTTCAAAGTTATACAGATGTACCCTTCCCTCCCCACTCTCCCCCCCCCCATTGACCCCTTCTAGCCCACCTCCTTCCCCTGCCCCGGGCCTTCACCACATTATAGTCTATGTCCATGGGTTATGCATACATGCACATAAATTATTTGGTTAATCTCTTCTCATCCACCCACCCACCCACCCACCCCTGCCTTCCCTTTGAGATTCCATGTCAATAGATCTATTTTGTTCATCAGTTTATTTTGTTCTTTAGATTCCACATATGAGTGAGATCATGTGATATTTGTCTTTCTCTGAGTGGTTGATTTACTTGTCTTCTGTATATTGTCTCTGCCCTGTATTTATTTCTTACTGTTGAGTTTTAAGTATTCTGGATCCAAGAAAGTTGTATAAATATTCTGGATCCTTTGTTGGATATGTTATTTCCACATACTCTCTCCTAGTCTGTGGCTTGTTTTTTCATTATCTTTTTTGTTGTTGTTAATATATTTTTATTGATTTAAGAGAGGAGGGAAAGGGAGAGAGAGAGGTAGAAACATCAATGATGAGAGAGAATCATTGATCGGCTGCCTCCTGCACATCCCCTACAACCTGGTCATGTGCCCTTGACTGGAATCAACCCTGGGACCTTTCAGTTTTCAGGCTGACTCTCTATCCACTGAGCAAAATGGCTAGGACTCTTTTCATTATCTTAACTAGTTGTTACAGGGCAAAATTTTTAAATTTTGACTAAGTCCAATTTATCAACATTTTATTTTATGGCTTATCCTGTCGATATTACAACCAAGTTCTTTACCTAGTCAAAGATCACAGTTTCTCCTGTGTTTTCTTCTAGTTTCTAGTTTTATGTTTTTATTTAGATATATGATCCATTCTGAAGCCTATAACCCTAATCTCTACTCACTCTAAAAAGGCCAACTTTTTTAAATTTTTTTATTATTTTTTTTTTAATCCTCACCCGAGGATATTTTTCCATTGATTTTTAGAGAGAGTGGAAGACAGAGGGAAAGACAGAAATATTGATGTGAGAGAAACACATCAACTGGTTGCCTCCTGCACGAGCCCAGGTACGTACGTACCCTTGACTGAAATTGAACCCGTGACCGTTTGGTCCACAGGCCAACTACCTACTGAGCAAAACTGGCAGGGGCAAGAGTTTTAGACTTTCTTATTTAAAAAAAAAAACACATTTGTATTGATCAGAAACATCGATCGACTGCCTCCTGCACACCCACTTCTGGGGATTGAACTGGCAACCTTGTCGTATCAGGATAATGCTCTTACCAGCTGAGCTACCTGGACAGGGCCTTATAAGATCATATTTAAGGTGGGTATCTTGTAGACAGCATACAGTTAGGGCTTGTTTTCTGTTTTAAATTTTCTGATAATGTCTGCTTTTAATTGGTGTGTTTAGCTCAGGAACATTTAGTGTCATTATTGCAATGTCTGGATATAAGTCTATGATTGTACTAGTTTCTGCTTGGGCCTCAGTTTTTTGTTCCTCTCTCCTTTCTTCTTCTTTTTTTGAATATTTTTCAATCAAAATATCTTTTGTTTATTTGATTAACTTTTAATATTCTATTTTATTTCTAGAATTTTTGAGCATATATCATTGTATGTAGTCTTTTTTTGGTGGTTGTGCTAGGGATTATAATACACAAAGTTTTACATTGTACTTAGAAATACCATTTTACCATTTTAAAAAGGCAATTTTACCTCCATATTTCTCTCCCTTTTTATGTTGTAGCTGTCAAATTTATTACATTGACATATGTTGAAAGCCAAACCAGATGTTATAATTTTAACTTTAAACTATCATACATGTCTTAAAGAATTTAAGGGGAAAACAGCTGTTATTTTTATCCAGATACTTATCATTTCTGATGCTTTTCTTTCATTCCTTAAAGCTCCAAGATTCCTCCCAGTATCATTTCCCTTCTACTCAAAGAACTTGCTTTATTTAGCATTTCAGCTAGAGCAACCAATTCTCTTCTTTTCCTTCACCTTAAAATGTCTTTTTTTTTTTTTTTTTTTTTTTTTTTGCTTCATTCTCGAGTTATTTTCACTGAAAATTGGAGTCCTGGATTGACAACTCTTTTTTGTTTCAGCACTTCAAAAATATTGTTCTACTTTTTTTTCATATCATTGGTTTCTGATGAGAAATCTAGTCATTTAAGAAATTGTTCTTCTAGGTGTCATTTATTTTCTTGCAGTATCAGAATGTTTTGTTGTCTTTGGTTTTCAGCAGTTTGATTTTAATATATCTGAGTGACAATTTATTTGAGTTTATTCTTTTTGGAATTCTTTGAGCTTCTTGAATCTATAAGCATATTTCTTTTGCCAAATTTAGTTTTTAGCCAGTATTTCGTTAAGCATTTTTTCTGTATCACACTCTGACCTCCTCCTGGGAATCTGCTGATACAGATGTGACCTTTTCCTATTGTTCCACAGGTCCCTGAGGCTGTCTAGTTTCATTTTTCTCTCACTCTTTTTCTCTCTATTTTTCAAAACAAGATAATTTCTAGTGATCTATTTTCAATTAGTTACTCTTTTATCATCTCCAATCTGATATTAAGCCTATCCAGTGAATTATATTTTTTCAGTTGTAATATTTCTATTTGGTTCATTTCTTTATCTTCTATTCCCTATGCTGAGATTTTCTACATTTCTATTTGTTTCAAGATGTTCACACTTTTTAGAGCATGGTGTTCCTGTTTGCTTAAAATTTTTTGTCTGATAATTCCAACAACTGGGTCATCTGAGGTTGGTGTCTATTGACTACTTTTTCCTTAACAAGTATTTGGGATTTCCCTAGTGTAAAGTCATTATGAATGGTATCTTGGACATTTTATTTATTTATTTTTTTAATTTTTTAAAAATATATTTTATTGATTTTTTACAGAGAGGAAGGGAGAGAGATAGAGAGCTAGAAACATCGATGAGAGAGAAACATCGACAGCTGCCTCCTGCACACCCCCCACCGGGGATGTGCCCGCAACCAATGTACATGCCCCTGCCCGGAATCGAACCTGGGACCTTTCAGCCTGCAGACCGACGCTCTACCACTGAGCCAAACCGGTTTCGGCTAATTTTTAAAAAAAATATATTTTATTGATTTTTCACAGAAAGGAAGGGAAAGGGACAGAAAGCTAGAAACATTGATGAGAAAGAAACATCGACAAGCTGCCTCCTGCACACCCCCCACTGGGGATGTGCTGGCAACCAATGTACATGTCCTTGACTGGAATCGAACCTGGGACCTTTCAGTCCGCAGACCGATGCTCTATCCACTGAAGCCAAATCAGTTTGGGCTATCTTGGACATTTTAAATATTATGTTGTGAAACTGAGTCTTCCTTACATTTTTTGGACAGTATTAATTTTTTTTTTTGTTTTTTAAATATGTTCTTATTGACTTCAGAGAGAGAAAGAGAAACAGAAACATCAATGATGAGAGAGAATCATCAATTGGCTGCCTCCTGCATGTCCTACATTAAGGAGTCGAGCCCCCAACCCAGGCATGTATCAAACCATGACCTCCTAGTTCATGGGTCGATGCTCAACCACTGAACCACACTGGCTGGGCAGTATTTTTTTTTTTAGTAGGTTAGGTTCTACCTCCTGGGCCAAATGGTGAGAGAATACAGAGAAAAATAAAAGCCATCAGGATTCCCCTCATGCTTTTGGCCAGAGATTTAGGCTGATTTAGCCACAGGACTGCCTTGGGGCTAGGGCAGTGGTTGGCAAACTGCAGCTCACGAGCCACATGCAGCTCTTTGGCTCCTTGAGTGTGGTTCTTCCACAAAATACCATGTGTGGGCGCGCACATACAGTGTGACTGAAATTTCATGGCCTGTGTGCAGAAGTCGGTTTTCGGCCTGGGCGAGTCTATTTTGAAGAAGTGGCATTAGAACAAAGAAGGAGCCAAAGAGCCACATGTAGCTCACGAGCCACAGTTTCCCGACCACTGGCTAGGGTAAGGGAGGAAAAAAATAAAAAAGGGAATCCTCCAAGTCTGTCCTGCAGGAGTCCTACTTCAACCAGACGGAGAAGGCTTCTTTGCATCTGTTATATAGTTCCAGTTTCAGGCTGCCGTAGAGGCCTTATCAGGAGTACACGGCACTCACCACCAGCTTGATGGTACCTTGAATTCCCTAATCCAGAGCTAGAGTCCTTAAATAGCTATTCCATGCATCTGGTCCAGGGTTTTTAATTATATTCTAGAGAGACAGGGTGGGTGTGCTCACTCCAGCTCACCAGGAACTGGCCCCACAATCAGGGGCTCCTAACTCTATGTTGGTTCTCATAGTGGAGAACCACTATGCTCATGTATGTGGATATTCTACATCAGGGGTTGGCAAACTTTTTCTGTAAAATGCCAGATAAATATTTTAGGCTCTGGCTATATGGTTTCTGTCACAACTACTCAATCTACTCAGCTCTGCTTCTATAGTGCAAAAGCAGCCACAGACAATATGGAATTGGCCTGGCTATCTTGCAATAAAACTTTATTTTAAAAACCGGTCATTGAGGGAGAATCCAAGATGGCTGCTCGAGTAGGCAACTAGCCGCAGCCGCACACAACAATTTCAACAAAATACAACTAAAATATAAAATGGACATTACCCAGAACTACAGGAAAGTCGACAACAATAAGCAAGGAGAAAACCAGAAGGAAGCGCGGAGGAGCTGTAAAAGCCCAAGGTACGGAGACACGCGGCACGTGGAGAGGACGGAGCCAGAGAGGAGGGGCGGCTGAGTGCCTGGCTGGCGGTCCCAAGCGGGAAGGAGAGAAAAGCTCCTACTGTGCTGGGCCCAGCTCCAACTGCTCTGAACCCCAATTCTAGGCCAGACCCTGGGGACCCAGGCTCATCCATAGGGAGCCGGGCTGTAAGGCGGGACTCCGGGGAAGCGGCGAAAGGAGGTCCCGGAGGCGCGCACACTGCGCGCAGAGAAGGGCCGGCCGGCTGTGCCGCGGGATTGCCCTGACGGGAAGGTGACAGGGGCTCCAGACTGCTCTGAACGCCACCTCCAACTCCACTTCCAACTGAACTGAACCCCAATACCAGACTCATTGGGGGAGAGCATAGATAGTTTGGCAGGAGGCGAAAATCGAGGGCACCTTTCTCTCAGAGGCGCTGGCAACAAGTACTGAAGGACCCTGAGTCTCAGGAGTCGCATAGGGCGGGGCTGACGGAAGCCAAGGCTGTAGGCTCCACCCTGAAACCCCGCCCCATCAGGAAAGCTGCCTGCGAAAATGCCTAAACCAAATAGATCACAAACAAAAGAAATGGAGGACAAAAAGCGACTGGATATAGAGTTCAAAACCACACTTATAAGGTTGTTCAAGAATCTCCTAGAAAAGGCCGATAAAATAAACAAGACCTATGAGGATATGAAAAGGGATCAACTAGAAATAATAAGGGATCAACAAGAAATAAAGAATACATTGTCTGAAATAAAATATATTTTATGGAGTCCTAAAAACAGAATGGAAGATCGCAAGAATCAAGTCAAAGATTTGGAACATAAAGAGCCAGAAGACACTCCTCCGCAGACGCAAGAAGGCCAGAGAATCCAGAAAGTTGAAGATAATGTAAGAAACCTCTGGGACAACTTCAAGCGAACCAACATCAGAATTATGGGGGGTCCCAGTAGATGAGAGAGAGCAAGATATCGAAAACATACTGAAAGAAATAGTGACAGAAAACTTTCCCCACCTGGTGAAAGAATTAGACTTACAAGTCCAGGAAGCGCACAGAACTCCAAACAAAAGGAATCCAAAGAGGACCACACCAAGACATATCATAATTAAAATTCCAAGAGCAAAAGACAGAGAATATTAAAAGAAGCAAGAGCAAAGAAGGTAGTTACCTATAAAGGAGCACCTATACGATTGTCAGCTGATTTCTCAACAGAAACCATGCAGGCCAGACGGGAATGGCAAGAAATATTCAAGGTGATGAATAGCAAGAACCTACAGCCAAAGATAATCTATCCAGCAAAGCTATCACTCAGATTCGAAGGTCAGATAAAGAGCTTCTAATAAAAAAAAGCTAAAGGAGTTCATCACCACCAAACCAGAATTATATGAATTGCTGAAGGGGGTTCTTTCAGAAGAGAAAGTAAATAAAGATAAAAATTATGAACAACAAATACGTAACTATCAACAAGTGAATCTAAAAACCAAGGAAACTAAAAAAAAAAAATCTGATGAACAATATTAACTGTTGAATATAATAGAATCAGAGGTATGGAAGGGGAGTGAACTGTTTACTCTTGGGGAAAAGGAGAGAGGGGGGATGTGGGAAGAGACTGAACATAAACTGTGCACCTATGGATGAGGACAATGGGGGGTGGGGAAAGGGCAGAGGGTGGGGTGAGAAGGGGGGGGAAAGGAACATTTGTAATAATATGAACAATAAAAATTTATTTTAAAAAATAAATAAATAAACAAACAAATAAATAAATAAATAAAAACAGGTCATTGAGCCGGGACCGGTTCAGCTCAATGGATAGAGCGTCGGCTTGGGGACTGAAGGGACCCGGTCAAGGGCATGTACCTTGGTTGCGGGCATATCCCCAGTAGGGGGTGTGCAAGAGGCAACTGATCGATGACTCTCTCTCATCGATGTTTCTAACTCTCTATCTCTATCCCTTCCTCTCTGTACAAAATCAATAAAATATATTTAAAAAAAAAAGAAGAAAAGAAATTAAAAAAATAATAAATAAATAAAAATAAAAACAGGTCATTGAAAAACAAACAAACAGGTCATTGACTAGATTTGACCAACTGAACCATGGTTTAATGACCCCAGTTCCACCTCAACAATAAAGGTGCTTAAAGGCAAAATTCACTTTTGGACTTTTTTACATTCCTTAGACAGAATTCTTCAAATAACTACAAAAGTGAATTCTTTCCTCTTGCATTCCTAGTCCCATTGCATGCCAAGAACTGTGATGCACATTCAGTTTTGGTTTAATTATGCACTTTGATGTGTGAAACAGTCACTATCTAGAGCTAAAATAAAGTTATAAAAGCTAAAATTCAAGGAGATTTGACTAACATCTTTTATATAAAACTGAAAATGCTGTAGTTATCATTTCCAATAGAAATCCTTATTCACAGGGTTCTGGAGGATATGTTAAAGCAGAGGTCATAAATAATAGTGCCCCAACTTGTTTTTCCAGAGACTGACTAATTGGAGGTGTGGAGAGGCTGAGGTCCTTTCACTCACCTGGTTTCCTGCCACAGAGATAAAAGGCTAGTCTGTCCGTCAGCTCATACTGTATTTCTACAAGGCGATCTGCCAGCTCGTGGTGCCCTCCTTGCCTACCAAGAGAAAACAAAGTACCATTTATATTGCTCACCAGCCAATGGCTCTAGAATAAAAAAGGACAGAGATGTCTCCTGAGCCAACTGAGCAATTATCAAACATGACTATTTAGAATAATCAACCTTTTTGTGTGAGGTAAACTGTCAAGTTCTACTTTGATTCCCATATTTATAAACTGTTCTCATAATCTGAAATACTCCCTCTTCTTTTATGTAAAAGGCAGAATACTTAATAAAGAATTCAAGGACTTATCAGGTAAATAAAACTTCATCTAATGAGGCAGAAGATAAAATTAATAAATGGTCTAAGATAGAGATTCTCAAAAATTAACAAGTGTTTTAAAATTTATAAAATTTATACAGCTATCCCAGCCCCACCCCTGGAAATTCTGAATCCGTGAAGATGGATGAGTACGGACATCAATATGTTAAAGATGGTCTTTCCACTAGATGTGCCAATGGAGCCCGTCTGACCGGGATGAGAGTTTAGTAACATGTGGTCCTCAATTCAGAGACACAGACCAACCTAACACACACCTGTAGCTTTAGCCTCCTTATCTTCAATTTCCATAACAGAAAATATTAAGTTTGCCTTTCTTCATTCATGAAATAAATATATAAGCTGCTTGAAATCCTTTTAGTAACAAGGCACATATGCTTGGTACCCATGAAAAAATCCTACTGTAAATGACAATATCATATACTGAGGGCTCTCTTATTCTTAAAAGATGAAGTTAGTTTCTGTCAGTTTCTCTTTCTACCATTCAAGGCACTACAAAATATTCTCCCTATCGCACAACTTTGATTCTGTGATACACATCTTCCCCCCACCCCTCATTTTGTAAACATCTATGAAATCAGGAAGTATCTTACAATTAATGATACTCATCATTTACCGTATTTTTCGGACCATAAGACGCACCGGACCATAAGACGCACCAGTTTTTAGAGAAGGAAAATGAAGAAAAAAAGATTCTGAAACAAATAGTGTCCTAAAATATTTTATGTGCATTAAAACCCAACATCACAGTCATAAACACATGTAATCAACCCTGTAAAGTAAACAGCAGCATTTAGAACCATTTTAGAGCCGGGCAAGCACACAGAGACCACACAGAGCCGGGCAAGTAAAAAAACTTTTTTTTTAAAGTATATGTGTAGGCTATATTTGGACCATAAGACGCAGGGACTTTTCCCCCCCACTTCTGGGGGGGGGGAAAGTGCGTCTTATGGTCCGAAAAATACGGTAATTGGCCACATTTTTTAGTGGCATATGAAATAATGAATGACCGTACAAACAGTGGAGTCTTAGATCTGATCAAACACTGTAGCTCTTTATTCCCAGACAATTCTGTACCATCCAGTCAGGTCCCCTGCTGTGATGAGCATGCCCTGCCTATGCCTGCTTCCCGAACTTGACTCATGTCGTTCTTCTCCCCTGGAATGCCTGAGCTCTTCCTTCATAACCCAAATCTAACCCATTCTTCAAAGACCAAGTAAAAGAAATTTCTTAATGATTTGGCTGCAATGAAGAAACCTATATATGACTTTTAAGACTAGTTATCCATTTTGGCAAACAAATTCCACACTATCTTGCCCCATTTAGCTCTTTTATGCATTTATGAATAATCTATTCCATGGAACAGTAAATTCTAGGAGGGCAGAATTTTGTCATTTCACCCATTTTATCCTCTGTAGAAAAATGCTTTGCAATTAGTTTAGAAATAGAAGAAAAGATGAGCTCCATGAACTCTAGAATTGACATTTTACTATAATTGTTTAATCACATATCTACCTACTTATACACATTTGTTTTTAAGTTTAAGCAATGGTTAAAAATATATAAAAATTGAGGAGTGGGTTCTGCCATTCTTAGTATCGGGTCTAGTAATAATTAATGTCGTTTTTAAACATTCGTTTAAAATCTTGCTTGGCGTTGACTTGTATTGACATAACCTTCAAACACGTGGTATCTACAGAACGTGTGAAGTGCAATTAACAAGTTTTGCTTGAAAAAGTTTGTGTTTGGTTTGGTTTTTGTTGCAAAACTAGGGCTAAGAAGATGGCGGATGAAGAGCATATTCGGCACTGCATGCTTTACGAGTTCCAATTAGGAAGAAAAGCAAGTGAGGCTGCAAAAAACATCTGTAGTGCTCTTGGTCAAGATGCAGTTAGCGCCAGAAAATGCCAGCGTTGGTTTGAGAAATTTCGCGAGGGAAATTTTTCGTTAGATGACAAGAGTGGTCGAGGCCGTGTGTCCAATTTTGATCAAGAAGCTCTTCAAGCTCTTTTGGTGCAAAATCCTCAAATTACCCAACAAGAGCTTGCGACAACTTTAAATTGTTCACAAAAAACAATTTCCAATCAATTGCGTGCACTTGGCAAAGTCCAAAAGTTTGGAAAATGGGTTCCTCATGAGTTGACCGACAACAACCGTAATCAAAGTGTCACAATTTGCAGTTCGCTCCTCTCTCGTCAAAACCGTTTGCCGTTTTTAGAGCAAATTGTTACTGGAGATGAAAAATGGGTGCTGTATATTAATTTGAAAAGGCGGCCTCAATGGTTGGACAAAAATGAGGCTCCGCAGCCCACGCCAAAACCTGACTTGCATGCGAAAAAAGTGATGTTGTGTGTTTGGTGGAATTTTAAAGGAATTCTTCATTATGAACTTTTACCATCTAACCAAACCATTACAAGTGCAGTGTATAGTGCCCAATTGGAAAGGTTAGCCCAAGCTTTAAGAGAAAAAGAACCCGCACTGATTAATCGGAAGGGCGTAATTCTTCACGACGATAACGCACGACCGCATACTGCAAGAATCACTGCTGAAAAACTGCGCCAGTTGGAATGGGAAGTTCTCCCTCAACCTGCATATTCTCCTGATATTGCCCCTTCCGATTACCATTTGTTTCGTTCTTTGCAAAACTTTCTTCTTGGAAAAAGATTTAATAATGAAGAATGCCTCAAAAATGCATTGACCGAATTTTTCGCATCAAAATCACAAGAATTTTACAACAGAGGGATTAAAATGCTTCCTGAGCGTTGGGCACAAGTAGTAGAAAACAACGGCAACTATATTGTTGATTAAATTTTGTTGTATTGTTTAAATAAATTCGATTTTAAAAAGTATTAGAAAACGACATTAATTATTACTAGACCTAAATACTTGATTTGGAGTTTAACTATGGCTTAAACACCACATCATTATAAAGAATCACATGAAAATTGGAAGCTAAGCAGACTGTTACGGTTCTACTTTCCCAGGTTATAAGCTGATATTCATTTGAAAAGTCATCTAAAAATAGCTGCATGTAAATCTTTAGAAGGGGTTAAATGTTAACCATATGCAATTTAGCAACTTAACAATGAATCATACAAAACACAAAGAAGCCCAAACAGAGAGAAGCGACAAGAATCTAGGTCTCTAACCTTGCATAATCAACAGGAGTTTTCCCACTGGAATCCTGTGTGCCTGGGTCTGCTCCATATACCGCCAATAACTCCGCCTGTAAAATCTGTCCTGCTTTGGAGGCAACATGGAGTGGGGTGTTTCCTTTTTCCTAAGAATCATTAAGAAAATGGAGGGGGAAAAAGCAAATTTAATAAAGAAAAGGTTACACAAACACAACCCACTTAGTTTCAATTTAATATGTAGATCAATTCCTGCTGACTTACAGGGTGAAAGAAGTTGGCTTGTGCTCCTAAAGATAACAGCCTCAAACAGGTTTCAAGATTCCCTGTTCTCACGCTTGAATGGAGTTGCTGAAAAACACACAAACAAAAAAGGAATGCTGTTAAAGTGTGAAGAGTGATATACTAGAGCAGCTGGCAGACCATGTTAGTCATTCTTAGCTCAGTAAGGGGATGAAACAGTCTCTCCCTTGCTGGTGACAACCATCCCTGGACACTAAGGCGGAGTCAGGCCCATTTTATTGATAAGGAAACTAGGGCTGGGAAGGCTGACCTGCTCAAGACCTCTCCAAGTGGCACAATTATACCTTGAGCGAGAGGTAGTATGGAGAGGTGGCTGAGCATGGCTCTGAAGTCTGATAGATCTGAATTTCAAACTATATAAACCTTTAAGCTATGTGACTTTGAGGAGGTTCATTAAGCAATCTGAGCCCCAGTTTCCTCATCTCTAAAATGCCAATAATAATGCCACCTATTGCAATGGAAGCTAACGAAAAAATAAACAAATGGGACTACATCAAAATAAAAAGCTTTTTTACAGCAAAGGAAACCATCAACAAAACAACAAGAAAGCCCTCTGTATGGGAGAACATATGTGCAAATGTTATCACTGATAAAGGTTTAATCTCCAACATCTACAGACAGCTTATACAACTTAATAAAAGGAAGATAAATGACCCAATTAAAAAATGGGCAATGGGTCTAAATAGAATCTTCTCAAAAGAAGACAGAAGGAAGGCCAAGAGGCACATGAAAACATGCTCAAAGTCACTAATTATCCGAGAAATGCAAATCAAAACAACAATGCGGTACCATCTCACACCTGTCAGAATGGCCAACATCAACAAATCAATAAACGACAAGTGTTGGCGAGGTTGCAGAGAAAAAGGAACTCACATGCACTGCTGGTGGGAATGCAGACTGGTGCAATCACTGTGGAGAACAGTGTGGAGTTTCCTCAAAAAACTGAAAATGGAACTCCCATTTGACCCAGTAAGCCCACTCCTCGGAATATATCCCAAGAAGCTAGAAACATCAATCAGAAAGAATATATGCACCCCTATGTTCATAGCAGCACAATTTACAATAGCTAGGATTTGGAAACAGCCTAGATGCCCATCAGATGATTGGCACCAAAAACTATGGTACATTTACACAATGGAATATTATGCAGCCATAAAAAAGAAAAAATTCTCATCATTTGCAGCAACCTGGATGGAATTGGAGAACATCATGCTGAGTGAAACAAGCCACTCAATAAAAGAGAGACACCACATGACCTCACTTATTTATGGGTGATAAAGAACATTATAAACTGAAGAACCAAAAGATAGATATAGAGACAGTAAAGCAATAAGCAGACTGTCAAATTACAGCGGGGAGGTTGGGGAGATCTGGGGGAGATAAGAGATCAACTGAAGGACTTGTAACATGCATATAAGTACAACCAATGGACACAAAACTCTGGAGAGGGAGGGTATGTACAGGAGGGGGGGGGCATTGGTATATGTACAAAAATAATAATTTAATTAAAAAATTTTTTTTTAAAATAATGCCACCTATTCACAGGGTTACTGTAAGGAGTTAATGGCACAGTAAAGTACCTAGCACAGAACCTGGTACATAGGAAATATTAAAAAAAAAAAAGAAAAAAAAAAGAAACACCTGTTAAAGTATTATCGTTATTGTATTATCATTATTTATTTTTTTAGAGTGTGTGGAAGGGAAGGGAGAGGAGAAACATCAATTGGTTGCCTCCCACATGCACTCCAACTGGGGATTGAACCCGCTACCTGGGCATGTATCCTGACCAGAAGTCGAACCCACAACCTTTCAGTACACGGGACAACACTCAACCAACTGAGCCATAAGAGTAGGACAGCTATTAATACTGCAGGGTTCTGCCTTATATTGCGTCCTTCCCACACCACTATTTTTGGCCTTGTATACAATGCTCTAATGAAGTCTTTCAGGTGGGAAATGGGCCCGTAGCATACCAAATTCTGCACTACTGAAGAAAAGTATATATTCAGAAGATGAGCTGCCTTCAATTCTGAACAAATTGTTGAAATGCAATAACTCTTATCATAGGAATAAAGATATGTACTCTAACATCTTTATCTAAGCCTTATTTTTAAAATTTATTTTACTTTTAAAACCTGTGATGAAAAAACACATCTTACTAATAATCAGAAGTAACAAGAAATGGAAGTAGCAAGAAACAAAAAGCCAAAACTGGTTTGGCTCAGTGGATAGAGCGTCGGCCTGCAGACTCAAGGGTCCCAGGTTCGATTCCGTTCAAGGGCATGTACCTTGGTTGCGGGCACATCCCCAGTAGGGTGTGTGCAAGAGGCAGCTGATTGATGTCTCTCTCTCATCGATGTTCCTAACTCTCTATCCCTCTCTCCTTCCTCTCTGTAAAAAATCAATAAAATATATATATTTTTAAAAAGAAATAAATAAAAATTTTAGGCAAAGTTTAAAATTCTGAACTGTGAGCTGAAGCCGATTTGGCTCAGTGGATAGAGCATCGGCCTGTGGACTGAAAGGTCCCAGGCTCGAGGTTGGGGAGATCTGGGGGAGATAAGAGATCAACCGAAGGACTTGTATACATGCATATAAGTACAACCAATGGACACAAAACTCTGGGGAGGGAGGGTATATACGGGAGGGTGGGGGCAATGGTATATGTACAAAAATAATAATTTAATAAAAATATATATTAATAAAATTAAAAAAAAAAAAAAAAAAAGGAAAGAAAGGTCCCAGGTTCGATTCCGGTCAAGGGCATGTTCGTTGGTCGTGGGTACATCCCCAAGAGGGGGTGTATAGGAGGTGGCTGATCAATGGTTCTCTCTCATCGATGTTTCTAACTCTCTATCCCTCTTCTCTTCCTCTCTGTAAAAAATCAATAAAAAAATATTTAAAAAAAAAATTCTGAACTGTGAATGCTCGTGCTATTTGTGAACATTTGCCAAAAGAGTGCTTTAAAAGCAGAGAAGCACGTTTCTTGTAGCATCTCTCAAAAACAAGCAAAGGCCCACATAAAGAAAACAAGCTACTCATTTTATAAGTATAATAAACCATCCCATGTACTACAGCTTTGAGTCATACCCTGCTTCCTGAAGATCTTCTTTTAAGTATGCAACCTAGAGACCTGAAGAAATCCCACAAAATTTCTAGTCCCTTCTAGAAACTGTGAGGGTTTCTACTTCAAAGTTAAACAAAAAACTTATCCTATCCTGTATAATAAAAGGCAAATATGCAAATCTACGGCAAAAAAAACAATGGATCGCAATGACGTGCACTGACCACCAGGTGGCAGACATTCCACAGGGGGAGGGCCACTCAGCCAGAAGCCTCTGTAGCAGGACTAAGGATGTCCAACTGTCAGACATCCCCTGAGGGTTCCCTGACTGTGAGAGGGCACAGGCCGGGCTGAGGGACCCCCCTGAGTGCAAGAATTTCATGCACAGGGCCTCTAGTCCTATATAATAAAAGGCCAGCAACCAAAACAGCATAACAATCGGAACAACGGATCAACCAGTTGCTATGAGGTGCACTGACGAACTCTTGGTCCCGAGCTCAAGCCCGCAGGCTTCAATTGGTCAACGAGGAATTACTGGGGAACCAGGGTGGCGGCGGGGTGGGACTGGGGACTGGTAAGTGGGCGGAAGGCAGACCTATTGGTCCCTTCCCCTGGCCCGCAGATTCCAATCATGGCAAACAGGGAACCAAGGTGGGAGGTGTTGGAGTGGGACTAGGGACTGACAAGCAGGTGGAAGGCAGGCTTCTTGGTCCTTCCCCCTGGCCCATAGGCTCCAATCGCTGGATGGTAAATGAGGAACCACAGGGAACTGGGGTGAGCGGCTGTAGGGACTGGTGAGCAGGCAGAAGATGGCCCTGATTGCAGGCTAGGCCTAGGGACCCTACTTGCACATGATTTCATATGCTGGGCCTCTAGGAGAAACATAATTTTCAAACCATATCTGAATAACACAAATAAATTTCTAGATACTTATTTTTCCTCTATGCCTTTACCTATACTAACATGAATGGCTGCCATTTGAATTAAGAATAAAGACAAAACCAACTGCAATGAAAAGCTGTTATTAGTTATTTAGTGACTAGATAACAGTTTTTGTTTTGTTTTTCTTGCTTTTAAAGTTTGTTTTTTCCCCCCCAAACAAAACAACACACTGCTTCATTCAGTAATTTTAGAGATTTTAAAAGGTGTGACCCACCTTACTGAGATCTTTGGCAGTCACACTATCATCATCCCGGCAGGGCAAACGATGAACAAATGCTAACATCTGATACTTGGCTCTGATGAATTCCGCTTTATTAGGACTGGTTGGAAAACAGAAAAAAGAAAACATTTCACTTGCAGTTCAGATACGACATTCCCCATTCTCTAGGCTGTAAAAAGAAGAGGAAGTGACCTACATTCCCTAATAAAATATTAGGGAATAAAATGAGCAGCACTGAAATAAGTTTACAGCAGTGGGTCTGAAAACATATTATTAGTAATTATAATGGCCAGGACTGAATATCTGCTTTCTATAGCATCTCTTTTCTCTGTGTAATGTTGTAATTGACCTAACAACCAGCATTTCATCCCATCTTATAGGCAAGGCATCAGGCTGACTGGAGCGCAGAACCTAGATGTCTGGTCTGACAGACCTCTTGTTTGAGTACCTAAGCCAAAATCTCATTACACCAACAACCTTTAAGCCTTAGTCTCAAACTGGAGAAACCACTGATTTGTGCTGTGTAACCCTCAAAAGAGATGGTCCTGTGCTTGGCCTGATTCTGCATTTCTTTTCCCTTCTTTATTGATTTTTAGAGAGATAGAGGAAGAAAAGGAGAAAGAGAGAAACATCTACCTATTGTACCACTTATTCATGTATTCACTGGTTGATTGTTGTATATGCCTTGACTGGGCCTATATAACCTTGATGTATCCATGCTCGAACCCAGTGGTCGGCAAACCACGGCTCGCGAACCACATGCGGCTCTTTGGCCACTTGAGTGTGGCTCTTCCACAAAATACCACGGCCTGGGCGAGTCTATTTTGAAGAAGTTTAGGTTTAAAAAATTTGGCTCCCAAAAGAAATTTCAATCGTTGTACTGTTGATATTTGGCTCTGTTAACTAATGAGTTTGCCGACCACTGCTCTAACCAACTGAGCTACCTGGCCAGGTCCCCTTGTTCTGCATTTCTAATAGCAAAGAGTTCAATGAACAATTGGGGGAACCACCTCCTGTGCTGCCCTTGTGGAGGCTGGTCAAAAATAGCTGCACTCCTTTCAGTGGGCCCATGTGCCCCAAAGAAATAAAAGTATTTATAAACATTCCACTCACTGTACTTTATCCTGTGGATTAGCTTTACGTCTTCCACTCATAATAGAGGCAGGATCCAGCAAAGAATGCTCCCATATTGAGTTAGCACCATTATTATATAAGGTTTCAACCATCTAAAAGCAAACAATATAACATCATATTTTAATTTCTTTCCACAAATATTCAGTGGTAATCAATGACTGAACAAGAAAAACAAAGCCCCATTACAAAAACTAGCATGCCTGGCATCACACACATCATCTTTTTCTCATTTTAGAGCATGAAAGGTGAACCATTACACAGAATTCAGATTTGACAAGTAGGATATCTAAATATCTAAATGGGTTTGATTATGTTGTTCTTATAGATTAATAGAGGCAGGATTCACAAAATTCATGCAAGGAGGCCTTCCTTTCCCCGGCTGCCGGCACCAGCTTTTCCCTCCGGCACCCGGGACTCTGGCCGCAGGCAGGCACCGGACGGGCTTCCCTCTCAGCACCGGCTGTCTCCGGAAGGTCGTCCAGTCTAATTAGCATGTTATGCTTTTATTATTATAGATGAAGAAAAAGTACTTTGACACTTTAAGGCAGTGTTTTCCACGACTGGTTATCCAAATACTATTTAAAAGATTCCTAACAATCTATGTACTGTAGTCTATCCACTTGGTATTTTTCTTTAAATCCACTCATTTTTAAAACTTTTTCTAGCAATAATGGCTTAATGTGTTACTTATAGCTTTCATATACACATTAATATAATGCAACCTCCGAAATAAAGATTACAGTATTATCTACATCTGTCTTGAGTACCACTGGGGGTTCATGTATCATATTTTGGTAAAAGTTTTAGGGTCAACCCTGGCATTTTAAACTACTCATCTCTAGCCTTTATTCAGACCCTCTAACAAAAATCTGTAAACACAGACCTGAGAACAGTAAATACCCACTTACTTGCGCAAAGAATGAGCTGTTAGAAACTTGTGAGTAAAAGTTATTAATAAACCATATCTTCCAATTTCATCTCAAAGCATGGCGGCTAACATGGCCCCATCTGTTTTTTTACATTAGTGGAGATATCAGAGACCCAAACCCACTTGTTCTGGTCCCTTAGTGTGTACAGGCACTGTTAAAGGACATGTTATGCAGCTGCCACAGACTTAGTAAAATATGTACTCAAGACAAAGGAAGGGGAAACACATGCTTAATTCTCTGCTCCAACAGAACTTGGAGAATGTGTATCCAAAAATAGAAATACAGGTGACGTGACACTGAATCACAAGTAAAACAACACACAACACTTAGCAGAGTGTTAGGTGATCCATCAAAACATGTTAATTGAATTTGTTCTCTAACTAGTACAACTTTAAATTAGATGTTTCAGAAATTTCTGAGGAATCCCATTCTGTGCTTCTATCAAAGGAGGAAAAGAAGTGCTAAAAATATCAGCAAGTACTGAGGGATAAGTACATTAACAAAAGTTTCTAAAGCAGTAGCTTTCACCACGATATGTGGAAATGATGAGGTGTTTAAAAACAATTTCTGGAGACATTCTAGAAAGTTAGCAGTGAAGCAGTACCAAGAAATTTGAATGACTACTTAGCTATCTGTCTGTGATGGATTTAAGATAAGCACAGCACTCTATTCCGTTACCATCCAAACATTTTTGTATGATTTAAGGAGTAGGGGAAACTTCAGTTGCTAAAACAATGAGCCCTAAAAACTTAAATCACAAACCACGAGAAAAAGTCTTCCTTTACCTGCAGCAACGTTGGAGGCCACGGCGTGTGCTTAAGATGCCTTACTTGAGAGATGTGGCGCCCTAGACTCCGGTGGACACTGCAGCACTCATCGCATATAAAAGTTCCCCTATTTACTGATGCCCAGGAAGGATCTGGAAAGAAAATGAAATACCAGTTGGTTGCTTTACTGCCAGATGGCAAAAGAGACTGAGGTAAGGTTTTTCAGAAAAAGGCATTTTTGTTGCTTTAGTATACTAATCAATCCAGCTGGTGATGAAACCTATCTTGCCTGGTTGGGTACAATGTTAATTGAGACTAAAAACTTGAGTTGAAATCCTCTATAAGCAGTTATCTCCTTTCTGGTGCAGGGCCACAGTCTGAAGCCCTAATGGGATCTACCACCTCAGATACATGCTCTTTCATTCAATATGAGAAGCAAATTGAGAGGATATAGATGAATCATTTTATCCATCTCCACAAATGGCAAAATAATGTAACTGTGACAGTGAATAATCCACATAGCATCATCCAAAGAAAATGGTGAAAAGATTGCTGCAAATCTATATGCCTATCTGCGTAGCAAAAAGCTGCAAGTGATAAAACTATAAGACTGCTCAGCTGTTGTAGTTCTCATGACTGACTGGGAAATCTGGTCTCCTCCACTAGAGAGATGTTCCAGGACCGACCGTGGTAGGCAAACTATGGCTCGAGAGCCACATATGGCTCTTTGGCCCCTTGAGTGTGGCTCTTCCACAAAATACCACAGCCTGGGCAAGTCTATTTTAAAGAAGTTTAAGTTTAAAAAATATGGCTCTCAAAAGAAATTTCAATCGTTGTACTGTTGATATTTGGCTCTGTTGACTAATGAGTTTGCCGACCAGTGTTCTAGAATATCCATTAGTTGTTTTAAATAAACTACTGGGGTTTGACTGGTGTGGCTAAGTGGTTGAGCATCGATCTATGAACCCAGAGTTCATAGTTCGGTTCCCAGCAAAGCACATGCCGAGTCGTGGGCTCCATCCTTAATAGGAAGCAACCAATCAATGATTCTCTCTCATCATTGGTGTTTCTATCTCTTTCCCTTCCTCTCTGAAATCAATAAAAAATATATTAAAATAAATAAACTACTGAGTCCAATCTTGCAACTGCTCTGAAAGAACAGATCTGTAATAGCAGTGGCTTCAAAGAAGCAAAGATGTCTAATAAAAATGAGTGGTATTTTTGGTGTACGTAATACTTTTTTCCTATGAAGTTTTAGAGACAGCTATTGAAACAGAAATAATCCACATTGGAAAAGTACACTGGATACCTAGAAACCAGGGGGGAAAAAAGAAAAAAGAAAGAAAGAGAAAAAGAAAAAAGACCTACATTTCATCAAACTCACAATGGAGTGACAATAGGTGCCACACAAGCTCCCTGGTCTAAGGGTTATATTTAAAAGTTCTCCAATGTCCACAAAAATCTCTAAAATGCATGTACACCATCTTTACCATTTTTAACAGTTTATTCAAATCCTTTCCAACCATATAATGAAAAGTTATGGGATTTCAATCAAAGACAAATCCTAGGAGTCAGAGAGTGTGGTGGTTAAGAGAACTGTCTCTGGAGACAAGCAGTCCAGGGTTTGAACCCCAACTCTCCCACTTCTCACACAATGAGCTAAGCAAGTTATTTATTTATTTATTTATTTATTTATTTATTTTTTTTTTTTTTGAGCATCCTCACCATGAATCAAATGGGAATATAACACATCTCAGGAGAGTGAGGATATAAAAAGTCAGTAAAGTTGCTTGCATCTAGTAAGTTCTCAGTAATGTTAACTGTTATAACTTTTCTAAATTATTTTCTAAGTACCACTCAGATATTTTCAAGAATCCACTGAAATTCATGACCCACTGGAAAAGTTTTTAAAATTATTTTTTTAGAGAGAGAGGAAGGGAGAGAAATAGAGAGACAAAAACATCAATGAGAGAGAAAATAATTTGGCTGCCTCCTGCATAATCCCTACTGGGGATCAGACCCCCAACCTGGGCATGTGTCCTGATGGGGAATTGAACCAGTGACTCACTGGCCGATGCTCAACTACTGAGCTACACCAGCCAGGCTGGAAAAAGTTTTGATTGGTAATACAATGTAGATTGTTTCATGTTAACATTGCATTACTATTGTAAAAGTCTCAGTAAAACTCAAAGTAGAATATATTTTAAATGAACTAGATTCTTTTTTTTAAGATAAAATATTTACTAAGATGTAAATATTTACAAGATGATGAAATGTTTGCCATGAAATAGAACAGAAAATAATTCAGTACTATTATGCCATTCTAAAAAGCAAAGACTGACAACATCAAGATGAAGGATCCCTACAAACACACACAACATTGCTTTTTTGCAATATGGTGCCACTACTGGTGATAAAAAAGAGATTGTTTTGAATCACAGCTTTGGTTTTCACATATCTATTCAGTAGACTCACAATGTTCTTGGAGGAAATTAGACAAGAACAAGACAACTAGAACTTAACACACACTAAGCAAGGTTCTCAATTAATCACTTTAACATCATAGATCAGAATCCCATGGAAAGAACATCAGAATGTTATATAACTTGAGTTTATATAAATGATATTGGGTGAACCCCCTTCCAGATTACCTGTTTTGGTTTTTTTATTAATCCTCACCCAAGGATATTTTTCCATTAATTTTTAGAGAGAGTGGAGCTGGGGAGGGGTGAGAGAGACAGACATCAATTGATTGCCTCCCGTAACCACCCCGACCAGGGCTAGAGATCAGCCTGCAAACGAAGTATGTGCCCTTGATCGGAACTGAGCTCAGGACCCTTCAGTCTGCAGGCCACCGCACTGTCTACTGACCCAAACTGGCAAGGGCCCTTGCAGTTTATCTGAAGCATAACACCAGAGGTACTTAACCTGGACTCCAGGAACACAACAATGGGGCTTTGGAAATGTCTGTGACCCTACTGAGAAATCTTAAAAGAAATTCTGTATGAAAGATTAAGTATGCATGCATTTTGGGGGGAGAAGGCCTTAGTATTCATCAAAATCTGAAAGGGATTCCGAACCATAAGGTAACGATCCCGAGGGCTTAGCAAAAAAGCAGCACAAATTCCTGGCTGCTCAAGTTCACAGAATACTTCAAGGTAGCCTACTTACATTCAAAACGGGAAGGAAGTGACTCAAGTCTCATAGATTAGGCATATGAGACAAGTAAAATGACACAATAGGAGAGAAAATGTTCTGAAATGCACAAAACACGGAAGACGTGCAAGGTAGTATGTAGGGCGGCAACGGAGCCCAAGTTTCCCTTCGCCCCATATCATCCCCTCAGAACTAAAAAATATGCATTCCAAGAGGAAGTTTGAATCTAGCCTCAAGTGAATCAAACACATCAGACAGTTCGTTCAACTGAAAACACAAGAAATAAGGAAGTGGAACAAGTAACATTTTTAGAGCCTACAATGGAGTTTGTGTAACTTACGTAGTTGGTAAAACACCTCTTTAACCTCTTCCACCCGGCTCCCTACCTTCAAAAGCAGCTGGTAACAGCACTGGCACTCCCAGGCGAGGGAAGCACCGCGGAAGGCTGGAGTGATCACGGAACTATTTAAAATCGATCCCCACTGCCATGCACCGAGATGAAGTCCAGAGCAGTTGCAAAAGCACCGCTGCTCAATGATTTCATTAAGATTGTTTATTGGACGCTTTTGTGCCAAGGAAGCCATCTTACCTTTGAATTACTTCCAATTCAAAGCAGATAAACCCAAGCACCGAAAACAGCAGAGACCTGTCAACTCGGCTCCAATCCCTAAAATGGATCTGAACTCTAAGTCTGAAAATTACACACGGGAGGAATGGTTCTGCCTTTCCCATGCCCCCAAATGCCTGGCTGCCCGGTTTGTTTTGTAAACAGTAATCAGTGTACAATCCAGAAGTTCAACTCTAGCTTTCAGGGGCTGACAGGTTCTGTTCTAAAGAACACAAATCAGAGAGAGAGAAAACGCCACCGCCAAGTGATGTGACCTAAGAGTGTTCGCTGAACCCTCGGAACCAGGGGCTGGGGCTCGGGGCTCCGGCGATGCCCACTGGAAAAAATGAGGACAGCAAGGCTCAGCCGAACGCAGCCACCGGCCCAAGGTCACCCAGAAGCAACATCCAGTTTGAACTGGGGCGCTCAGACGCCAAAACTTGAGACAGGCATCGACTCCTGGGTGCCGGTGGCGGGTGCAAGCCCCGGACCTCCCGGAGCCTCTCCCCGGGGGAGCGGAGCCCGCACGCCAGGAGCGGGGAGTCGTCCCCGGGTCGGGGGCCGGTCCCGGCGGAGGGGAGCGGCGACGGTCGCCCACTCGGGCCGGGAGGGCTCCGGCGAGCGGCGGGCGGCGGGCGGCGGGCCGGGGGTGACACCTGCGCCCCGGGGCCGCGGCGGGGAGGACGGCCGCGCTGACTTCTGTAACTGGCCTTCCTGCGCGTTGCCCAAGCCCCTTCCTGTGGGAGACGCTGCCGGCCTCGAGCCCGCCCCTCTCCGCTAGGCCTGGGGCGGGAGGCCGGGAGGGACCGGAGGGCGGCGGCCCCCCGCCCGCCCGGCTGACAGGCCCGGGACGGCTCGCGCCCCAAGGCTGCCTCAGCGGCTCCGAGCCGCGGCCCCGGGCACACGGGGTGCAGGACTCGGCCGCCGGGAGCTGCCTGCCCCGTGGGGGCGGCGCGGGGCAGGGGTCCCGGGCAGGAGAGCTGAGGGGAGCGGGCCCGGCCGGCGGCACTCACCCGGCCCGCTGCAGTCGGCGCACATCTCGCTGCTCCGGAGCCGCTTCGACATGGCTCCCGCCTCCTGCCTGCCGGGTGCCTGAAGCCCCGAGACAGCGACGGCGGCGGCGACGGCAGCGCTTCCGCTCTAACGGGTCCCACCGCGGCGCTGGCGGCGGCGCCTCTCCCCTCAACGCTTCGCAGCCGCGGCGCAAGGCGCAAGCGCGGGGAGGCGCCCGCTGGCGTCGAGGGTCACGTGACCCGAACGGGCACGCTGCGTCGTCGCCATCTTGAGTGAGGGCAGATAGGTACCCGGGGTCTTCTGTCCGCTTATCAAAGCTGAGTTTGGGTCTCCCTCCCGGGAAGAGAGTCCGAAGAGGGTCGCTTCATCCTATCGCTGAATAATACTGGAGAGAGCAGCAAAACACCTACTGACTGGAACTGTAGCCACACTTTACTGAGGCAATCAATAGTCACTAGCATAACTTTGGCCAAGTTCATTTATTCATTACTTTATGCAACAAATATTTATTGAGCACCTACTATGTTCTATACACTGCTCTAGGCACTGAAGAAACAGAAGTGAGCCAAGAAGACAAACTATCCCGTCCTGATGGAGCTGACATTTGATGGCAGTAGACTTACAGTAAAATGAGTAAAATAAGAATGCTAGCTGTTCCTTAAGCTGCAGTTTTAGTCTCATCAGCAAATTGGAGATAAATGTGTTATCTAACAATAAACTTAGACTCGCTTTTGTATGGCCTGTTATCTAAGAATGGTTGATAATTTTAAGGGGTGGTAAAGAGGAAGAGGAATAACCAACAAAACTCATAGGTGACCTGGAAAACTAAATATATACTATCTGGCTAAGGAGAAATGTAATAATTCACAGAAAAGTGTGGTGTGCCTGTCCCATAGCAAGCTGTCAATAATAGTAGCTTCTATTATTGTTGGTATTTGGTTTTACTATTATCTTCTTGTCACAATTTGTTTTTAGAATAAGGATAGCATAAGAATAGATAACCTAAAGTAATTTACAGGATGCTATAAGATAAACGCAACGAGGTGAGTTTAATCAGTGTGAAGGAGAGAAGAGACGTGGCCCTGATGCTAAGGAATATTTATTGTATGTGCTATCTGTGTCAACCACACAAAAGAAGTCAAGAGGCTTTGACTACAAATAAATGACAGAGACTTATTCAAGGGTCTTAAGACTTGCAAATAATAAACACCACCAGAATGTTACAAAGAAAAGAGAAACCAGGAGGTCATGGTTTTGGATGGCAGAGCACATGCCAGGGCGGCAGGCTCAGTGGTCATCGATCTTATGCTCTCTCATTGGTGTTTCTCTTTGGAAGGTGTCAGTTGTCTCTCTAGAAAAATCAATAAAAAATATATTTTTAAAAAGTTTATGTCCTCAAGCGCAAGCTTGTCAAAGTAAAATAAATTATATTCCTCATGGTTCGGCCCATTTGGTGTGAACCTGTTTTGTCAGCATGACTGTACTGAGTTGATCTTGTTTGATTCATAGATTTCTCATATGTAAACACAATTGTGAGCTCCGTTCAGCAGATATTAGATGCCTCTTATGGGTCTGGTACTGTTTGACTTTGGGTACTCTGGTAAGCAGCCGTTGTGGAGTTTTTCAATTAATGAATAAGAGGTGTTCAATAAACCTGGAACAAGAGACAAGATTAAGTTGCACAAGGTTTCTGAAAGGATAGGAAGTCCTGGAAGAAATCGATGTGTCTTTCTCATGTCTGTTTCTCTCGGCCTCTCCCCTTCCAATAGTTCTCAGAAGCTCTGGGTTTTGGTCCACCTCTCCATTTTGATAAATGTGTGGTAATCTCCACACATTCCACAGTTAGAGCCTCTGGGTACCATCCCGGTGCTCCTGCATCCCATTTTGGATGGGAGACTCACAAATCTTCTGGACTCAACTCACGCAGAAAATGGATTAGGCCAGCAATCTTAAACAGCTGTTGTTGCAGGCATCTGAAAAGCTGAGAAGGCAGAGGGTAAGCTTTCTGGGTTCATCAAATAATTTCACCCAGCTATGTAGTCTAGTTGTGGACAGCTCAGATCGGTGAGTAGATGTAAATTGACTTGGTTCTTTATTGAATCAAGGAGCTACATTCAGTGTCTTATGTTGGAACTCAAAGAATGAACTTTGTTGAAACTGGTTTGGCTCAGTGGCCTGCAGACTGAAAGGTCCCAGGTTCGATTCCGGTCAAGGGCACATACCTTGGTTGGGGGCACATCCTCAGTAGGGAGTGTGCAAGAGGCAGCTGATCCATGATTCTCTCTCATTGAAGTTTCTCTCTATTCCTCTTTCTTCCTCTCTGTAAAAAAATAAATAAATAAATAAATAAAAAAAATATATATATATATATATATATTTTTTTTTTTTTTAAAGAATTAACTTTATACTTGCAGACTGTGGTCAACTCTGTGTATTCAAAACCCAAAATTCAAATGGCTAGCTTCAAAAAACATGACACTCATGTGTGGAATAAGCCATAGGTAACATAACCTAGTTTGGAGTTCAGATATAATGGTGGTTTTCGACTGGGGGTGATGTGCCTCCTCCATGGAACAACTGGCAATGCCTGGAGGGTTTGTGTGTGTGTGTGTGTGTGTGTGTTTTGTGTGTGTGTGTGTGTGTGTGTGTGTGTGTGTGTGTTTTGGGGGGGTGTGAGTGCTACTGGCAACCAGTGGGTAGAAAGGCTAGTGTGGACGAAAGGAGCCACATGCCAACCTGACAAGCTCAGGGGAGGCCTGTGTGGCAGTCTTGCAAACTCAGAGACCTAAAATAACCACAAAAGATGGTTTGAAAATTAAATATTTAACTACAAACAGGTTATAGTGGGTAGTCATGTCCTAGGCCGATATTTTCCCTGACAAAGATCTTCTTTACTGAGCTCATTTGCCTTTTTTCCTATAAGATAACATATCTGTGAGATGTCTGGGTAACTTGTAACTTCCCTTTTTCTGGAGCTCCTGGGGCACAAACTAATGTGTTGAGTGCCAGGATGATGCCTCAAATTCCTTCATCATCATGTTAATTGTTCCTGTACCCACATAAGTATGTGTCCATCATTTTACTTTTTATCCAATCCCAGGGATTTCCCTCTGCTTTGCTTTCTCCTGCCTCCTTAATCCATCACCAATGAATTTCATGTAACCCACTTATGTCCCTCCTTTGATTGCAATGTATAAGTAGAAATGTAACCCGCCATTCTTCAAAGCATTATCTCGATTCATTGAGGTTTTGCTTCCCGGAATAGGTCGACAGTTTGGCTCAAATAAAATCACAAAAATTCTTTACAGTTTTCAATGTTTTTTTGTTTTTGTTTTTTTTTTCGTTAACACTATGGATGCTGCTCAATCTTACAAAGCACAGAACAACCCCCACAGAAAGAATGATCTCCTTCAAAAACGCCCTTCCTTGAGAAACCATGAGATAGAACAATCTGCTAGGCCATGCAACTCTTTAATGCCACTTCTCTAAGGTTTGTAGTTCCCCCTTCAAAGCAGTTTGGAGGTGCCCACTTCCAAAATGGCTTCTGACCAATCACAGGAGCCTCTGCGCGGGTCCCGGAAGGCGGACAGGGGAGTCAGTAAACGGAATGGTCCTGCCCACGGGCTGTTGCCACCCCCCGGGCGCGGAGTCGTTGGAAGGAGCCGGTTGTGGGCAGAACCATTTGCGGTTGCTGGAGCGGGGGGGTTACGGGCAGGCTGAGTTTTTTATTTCCAGATCCTGAGCCAAGAGGGAGGGTTTGAAATCTCCTGCGGAATGTCGCTGTGTCTGCCAGCGCGGAGCTGGACGTGGGGGGGAGCGGGTGGGCCCCGGGCCGGGGGCCTGGCCTCTCTCCCTGGCCTCGCCCCCCCCTCCGCGGTGAGCGGTGGTCCGCTCCCGGCACTTCCCGGTTCGGGGCAGTTCAGCCCGCAGAAGTCGGTTCGGAGCTGTCAGCGCGGCGGCGGCGGCGCGGTGGGGCGCGGGGTGGGCGCGGCTGAGCGGGTCCTCGACCCGACCCCCGACCTCCCGCGCTCCCCGCCCCTGGCCCGCGGGCCCTCCGCCGCGCCCCGCGCCCTCACTCGCGCGCCTTCTCTCGAGCTCGCCGGCCGCCGGGCGAGCGGGCGGCGCCGGAGACCCCGCGGGGGCTGAGGCTGGGCGGCGGGCGGCGCGGCCCGGCGGCGGCCTCCTCGCCATGTCGGCGGCCCGCGACGCCAGCGGCCACTTCCCCCTGCACCTCCTCGTGTGGAACAACGACTACCGGCAGCTGGAGCGGGAGCTGCGGGACCAGGTGAGGGCGGGGCGGGGCGGGCCGGCGGGGGAGGCGGAGGGGGAGCTCCGGGGTCGTTTAGCCTGCGGAGCCGTCTCCGTCCTCCGCGTCCGGGCCCCGCAGGCCCGTCAGTCCTCCGGGCGTGGGGCGGGAACCGTCGCAGGACGTGCCTTGAGCGCCTACTGTGTGCCAGGCCCGGTGCCGAGGGCTTGGTGACATGAACTCTTTTTGACTTTGCAACAGTCCAAGGAGGTAGGTGCTATTATTGTTACGTTGGAAAGAAAGGGAAACTGAGGCGCTCAGAGGTGATGCGCTTTGCTCAAGGTCGCCCACCTATTACCTATCAGTCGGGGTTCTCTGTGTGAGCACCGCGCCGTCCCAACCAGGTAGGCTCTTCCCCAAGCAATACCCGCTCCGCACCCCGCCCGCCCTTTTCGTAAGGAAGGGCTCGGTGGGGTTTGGAGTCCAGGTGGCAACCCGCCCTGTGACCTTGGGCAAGGCGTTTTCCCTCCCTGGCCCAGGGAGACTGATGCCTACCCAAGTCTGAGAATCACTGGTGCCCGGGATCCTTAAAATCCCTTCGTGTTCCAAAGTACATCGATTCCTGGTCTTGTATGTATCACCTTCTCTTTAAAGCAGTGCTTCTCAGCACCTCCGGCATGGCTCAGTGGTGGAGCATGGACCTATGAACCAGGAGGTCACTGGTTCGATTCCCGGTCAGGGCACATGCCCGGGTTGCGGGCTCAGTCTCTGATCCCTAGTGTTGGGGCGTTTAGGAGGCAGCTGATCAATGACTTTCTCATCACTGATATTTCTATCTCTTCCTCTTCCTTCCTCTCTGAAATAAAAAATATCTATTAAAAAGTAAGTAAAGCAGTGGTTCTCAGTTGGAAGTGGTTTTGGCCCCCACCGCTCCAGATGCATTCAGACAGTT